CCTCGATTGAAATCCCAGCATTTTCAATCTGTCATTAGGTCAAATTAAGTGTTCAGCCTGGCAGAACGACTTCTCAATGGACGGAAAATTGTCCTTTTTTTCCTGCCTCCCACATAAAATCCAATTGGATATGCAAAGCTATGAAAAATGGATAACACAGCATGTAAAAAACGTTAATTATATTTTTCACGCATGAGTGACTAATCGCTTCACCTTCCGTTTTATTTATTTTTCATTCATTTGCAATTGAAATGAATCCTCGAGCAACATTTCAGCACTCTTTTATGCAACATGCGACCAAATGCATTGCAAGTCAAATCCGAATTTACTGCCACTTGTGAATATCATGGATGGAAAATGAACTCATGCTGCCACGCTGTACTCTCAAAATTGCCCAAATTTAATAACACCGTGTCTCTTCTAATTAAACAGCGTTTTACGAATATTCAATAGAGCCTTTTGTATATTCATGCACTTTCGGGCCAAATGTTATGCATAGCAACGCTTTATAAGCCATTATGGAGAAAATAGATAATAGAATTGCATCAGAGTTTCATAAACAAAGCCTCTAAATAGTAAATCAATACCGGAAAAATTGAAATGGAAATTTTAAAAAAGGATACATTGTCTTGTTTTAATTAACACTTTGTGCAATTTGACTTTATAATTTTGCATGGATAATTAAAAAGAAAACATTTGGATTGAAATTCAGAGCATTTTCCGGCGAGTTGCTTCAATATTCTTCTGAGAGGAAATTTGAAAGGCTTAATTGATGTTTATTAATTTTGTAGCTAAAGACGACAAAGCAGTAAAAAGGATTTACACATTTTTTCTTCCCAACAAATTTACAGCCACAAAATTTTCAATATATTCAAAGAAAATCACCAGAAGCGGTTAAATTGCGTAGAGCAAATTTTGTATTAAAACTTCCGGTATTTTTCATCATTTCTGCCCAACTTTGGCTGTTTAGAACGTCATAAGGTATTGGAGTAAATGGTTGCCTAAGGAATGAAAAAGGGGGAAAGTTGGGCTCTGCCAAAGTAAATAAACAGCGAGTGGGTGAAAATCTGCGGACAAGAGAAATGGTGATAAAAGAGCAAAAACACCAAATGGATAAATAAAGTATCTGATTCGATTTGATACCTCTGAAAGTGGGTAAAATTTCACAAGAGCAACATAAACATTCATGTGAATTCCTATTTACCTTCGGCTATGATGCACAATTGACCTACAATACAGGAATTTCACACAGAGAGAGAAATTGTTTTCAAATATCACAGACCATCAGATGTTTTAATGTAAATAATAGAGCTTTAACGATATATATGTTACGCAGGAAAGCAACTCATTCTATAGGGAATTCTCTGTTCCATTAGAAAAGCCCATTTCAATGAAATTGCGAATAAAATTTTATTCATTCAAGAAAAAAAGTACAGTGGCGAGATTTAAAATAGTCCCCGATTTGTAAAATCTATAGATCTGAAATATTCCACCAATCTTCCCTCATTAATAAGTAAAGACCATGCCAAGTTTGAAGACATTCGGCCTAATCAAAAGCAGCCTAAAGCAGAAAATTACCTACTTTTAAGATCCATTAAGAATTGTTCCCTAAGGTCCCTGTGATCCTTTTAATTACCGTGAGAAACAGATTTCATGAGTTTGAATAAAATGCCAAGACGATATAGTAAAAACATACTGATTTTACTATTTCAAGACCCAAATTCGCATTCACCAGAAAATACGAATCTCGGGCTTGTCTCAGAGTCGCGGGGGGCGCTATTTAAAATCTCGCCACTGTAGTATAGAATTGAAAAAAAGTTTCAAATGAACAACAATTTTGCAAGCCAAAAATGTATAATTTAATGGTTTTTTTTATTCGGGGTTGTTGGAAAGTTACCACTTTATTAATTAATTCAGTATTTTTTCGGATGCAAATGACTTCACTATGTGAGTGTATTTAAACATTTTTATTCCCACAATGTTTCAGCAGACGTAAATGAGTGTGAAATGGTGTGAAATTTGTATACGATGCTGTTGGTGACATAAAGTCTTGATGTGTGTCTAAATCCAAGACATTAAGGTCACAGCATTTCGACTGAATCCTCACCTCAAATCACCCCAGAATTCAGCACATCAGCCATGAGTCAGATCTAATCACTGAGTGGTGCTTATATCGCAATTATTGACTTTATATGTTCCAACCCAATATCCGTTAACGAGAGGAGGCATTTTTGCCTGTTTCCTCGACGAATAGGGGAAGTTTATTGTTGCCTGAATAATAACCCCATTTCCACAGGGTTGCCTATATAGGTGGCGAATGAGTTGGAACAATAACAATTGCCTTCCGTCTTTGTTACTGAGAAGATTCTCCGCGTACAAAACAATTTATCAGATGCATGAAAACATGCCTAATCCTTTTGGCAAATTCTGCCTGAGTCTCCCGAATGAAATGAAATCCTTACCCACTCAGTGTGTCTTGGAGATGAGCGAGAGACAGTATTATTATCCTTGGCGGTTTCCACTGGGTGTTTTCTCTCTATACTTCGAAACTTGCTGGCAAATTCACTTCTGTGGAAGACATTCAGTTTTTTGCACTCCACAGATGATGGCAAATCTCCATCATTCAATTTAATGATGTTTGCCAAATGCAGGACCTCATTTATTTGGATATTTCTCACTTAATCACTGCAGCGCGCATTAAGAATCAATTTCAACACCACCGGAGCTGCACTGGAGAACACTTTCCCGTTAATTAAAGAATTCTCCTCCCTCTCAATTTATTTGCTGCTGAAATTCCTCCACTCAGTCCACACACACAGAACGTCCGCACACGGCCACCGTGAGTAAATCACTTAAATCTCATAATTCTGGCGACTCTATTTACCCCCTCGCCCAGCACACGCAATATTGGATTTCTGCCTCTCTACATATTTCTTGCCAGGCGAGAATATTTGAAGGTGTAGATGAGAAACTATGTGTTCAAACGAGGTGAGCTTAATATCTAATTGGCGACACAAACACAGAATGTGAGAGAAACTCGTTCGAAAATTCCTCCTCCTCCTCCTCGAGAGTTTTCAAATTTATCGCACTGTGGAAAGAGTGTCTGGCAAAAATTAATTTTAATCACTCTCGGAAGCGATCCCAGTGAAGTGATTTCAGTTGACACAGATTCCTGGCTTGAGAGAGTCCGTCAAGAGTGACGAATAGCCACGGGAAAATGCACAACAACAGATAGTCGTCTAATCGCACGGCTTCAGGATCAGCTCGCACTCGCAATCCTGGCGGAAAATCCCTGCGACCGTTCCGCACCGAGTGAAAATGTTAACTGAACATGCTGAAAGACTTTCGCCAGCAGCGCGCCAGAATATCTCTCAACTCCTACACTGAACGCGCACACAGGAGGAAAACTCACAACATAACAATTTTCCCGATGATGCTGACAACACTGTGATTGAGACTCTGGTCGATGCTGGTGGGAAAATATCTCGAGAAGAGCGAGAGAGTCCCTCGGTCGCGCCTCCGTCTGAGCACGCGATAAAACACACAAAAGGCATGGAGCCATCAATTCACATCGGGCGAAGTGTGAGGGAGCGAAGACGAGATGGGAATTTGACTTAAAGACGGGGTATTAATATCACACTCCACTGCAATGATTAGATAGAGTGTGTTTTGAAGGAATCCAAAGAAATTGCCAAAGAAATAGCCAAAGAAATTATGGTCGACGGGGAATAAAATCGCCTGTCTGACAATTCGTCTGCGGAAAGCATTGCGAGGATTAAAAAAGGGAAAATGTGTCACACGCGCGCGGTCACAGGCAATTTGCGAAAGCCCCGCCCACTCAAATGCCACGCCCAGGATGTCCTTTTTGAAAACAAACAATTCAAGCTGGGGGCGAATTTTAAAATACCTCTTTGTCAGTTTGAATCACTTTTTGATTTATATGGAAGCAATAAGAAGAGAATCAACCTATTGAATTACGTATTGAAGTAGTGAATAAAGGAGAAATCTTAAACTGCTGTTGACACTTGATTCGGCTCACAAACAATCGAGTATAGGAAGTGCTGCACTTTTCTCGCCAAAGTTGTGGAAAGTTTTCGACTTTATAGTGCTTTCTATATAATTTTCCTCGGTCTGACCAGAAAAGCCTTGAGAAAAGCTTTCTGTGCACAAATTTCTATTGGAATTCAATATCTATGTGATGAGTATTTTATATATATATATATATAAACTGCAATTTAAGGATAGAAAAGTATATAAAATGCAGGCGAAGGCGTTAGGGAGTTATCCCATTAGTGACAAGCACGCATTGACTTTAATGCTTTATAAGAGCCATAAAATTCCTTTAGTTGCTCAAAAATGGACAGTTTTTCTGACATAAACTGTCACTAAATCCAAATTTTTCTAAAGCAGCAGCATTTTTTACCTTTTTCTCGCTTAAGCCACTCATTATCGTTGATTTTCCCAAATATAATAATGTGATCAACTGAGCAAATTGAGCCACAAATTAAGAAAACACCTGGAAAAAATCTGTTGAAAACATGATTGTTTTATAGTTCAGGCGAAGGTGGAAATTTCCATTAAACCCACGCAAAACTATATAATTTTGTAAGCAAGAAAGGAGAGTTAAGGATTAATACTGTTTAAAAATCAACGCAAACACGCAATTGCATGGAAATCAGAGAACGGATTTTAGTCATTAAGTATGAGAAATGAAAGAAGAAACTCTTCTCCAAAATCAACAATCACACGATTCAACATGACGTTCAATGTGAATCAGGGGTTAACGATTTTTTTCTTCCAAGAAATAACACCAATTAGCAATTTACAACATATCACAATAAATAGAACACTGCGTATTTACTCACGGTGATTCGTATTGCACGAATGATCAACAAGAGAACGGGAACACTCGCAAACAGCGTGCAATGCTGGGCTTAATTTGCATTTTTCGATGCAACACTCTTGAAATGGGAGTGAAAGACGCCCGAGAGTGTTTCTGGTACACTGAATGGAATTTTATTCACAATTATAATTCACAGGTACGCCCTTCGCTCTCAACATCGCGACACTTAGTAAAACGTCGAAGAACCATGAATTTGCCAACTACTATTTTCAATATGTATCACGAGATATCAATCAAACAAAATGAGAAGTTGCATAAAAATACCGGGAAAATCGATTTTTTTTCTCTTTCTCCATCGAAAAAATCATCGAAACGGCGAGCGTCAGGATGCAATTTCGACAGTGTTCGCTGGACAATTTACAGCACAATCTCAAGATCGCTGTCCGTGTCGCTGGACTCCTCGCCGAAGTTGCACAGCGTGAGATTCCGGATGCCTTCGAGCAGATCGCCGGAGTCATCGAAGATCTCCTGGCTGATGTCGCGGCTCGTCTCGTCGGACGACTGGTAGTCGTCGGATTGCGTGAGCATCGAGTCCAGCAGGTGGGAGGCGATCCGCAGCGCCGCGTCGGTGGCAGTGTGCGACGAGACGGGATTCGGATTGGCAGACGTAGGAACTGGCTCGCTCGTCGTGATCTCCGACGTGGTGGGCGTCGCGTCCGTCACCACCACATTATTGCTATCTATTCGCAGGCCGGCGACGCCCTTCTTCGGCACCGACGCCAAGTCGCGCTTCACGCGGCGCCGCCGCGACGGATCGTCCTGCCGAATCTGACTCATCGACTCAAAGTCCACGCAGTACAAGTAGCCCGCCACGAGGATGGAGCAGGTCTTCTCCTTGCGCGCGAACGCGTCCTCGATCTCCTGGCTCGTGCGCACGTCATACTGCCACCAGCCTGCGCCGCGGCCAGTTTCCGGGGTTGCAAAGAACAAGAAGAGCCGACATTAGTCTGGTTTGGCGAACGTAACACATGTATTTGGATCATAATTCTAGCCTAGACTCTCTCATATTAAATAAGACTTGCACATACGGAAGAAAAGGACATCTTAAGACCTGCTAAATTGGCGTGTTAAGCTTATATTGTCGCCCCTTTATTTCACCGTCTCTTGATATATCTTGTAATCTCTGGCTTAGAAAGCCTACCTTCGAATATTCACTTATTTAGAGAAGTGTGCAGTGCTTATTCATATGAATACTTATGTATGAATTGAAAACTTCAAGTTCAATAATAGAAAAATCAATTATAAATGCTAAATGTCATAAAAAATAAGCACAGAAAATTATTACTGAGAAATTAGACTTAATAATGTATTTCTTGATTGGATATTCATAGAAATTATTCTTGGAATTGAAGAACTTTCCTCTAGGAATAAAACTAAAGTTCATTAAGATTCACATTGAAATTAATTTTATCGAATTATTGGGCGGATTTCTCATCTCTCATTGAATAATAAATCGATACACAATGAATAATCCCAATGAATTTCATACACGAGACTATTTACAGTTTGCAGAATTCGGTATTTCAAAAATATCTCTTCTTCCACTCCGTTCAGGGTGACTTTCCCTCCCCATCACGGTTCATCCCCCTGATCTTCGGCACGTGCGTTGTCCACCGCGATTCCGGCCACCCCGCGAACCCACAACTGCGGATCGGTGTCCTCGCGCCGGATGCGCCTCCTCCTGCGCGGGTGGTCTTTGGGGTACTGCACCATCTCCTTCAGGTCCACCTCGTAAACGTTGCCGCACAGGATTGTGCTGAAGACCGTCGAACCCCGTTCGAAGTGCGTCTCGAGCTCTTCCCGCGCGCGAGCTTCGTACTCCCACCACCCACCTTCAATGGTCAAGTGAGTCAGTGGTGTGGCAGGAGAGGGTGTATTTGTGGGGCTACTCACCGTTTCTGCCCTCGTAGAACCACCGGATCTCGCTTCCGGCACTCGCGCTCAGGTCCTGAGTGCCGCGCACCAGTTCCGGATGCTCCAAGCACTCTGGCGGGATGTCACGACGGCACAGGGCGCATCGGCGGTTCTTACTGGCCACTCCCTGTGGAACAGAAGAGCCCGTGAGCATGGGAAATTGCACTCCCGGACGAGAGAAGCGAGCAACTCACCTTGACACACAAGAAGCAAAAGATGTGGCCACACGGCAGCCTCGTGGGGTGAATGCAGGACTGGAGGCAGATGGAGCAGTCGATGTTGTCCGACAAGGACTGCGACTGGAGCACTGGAAAAGAACGAGATATTGGCAATCCTTTCCGGAAGGAACAGAAAGTCGTCTTCCAGAAAACTTTCCACTCACTTTTGTCCTTCTCTTCACCATCAATTGGCGTCGTAACTTCTAGAGCTTCTGCCATTTCGACACGTAAATCACCACGAGAATCAGCAATTGAAGACTTTGGGGCAGATGATGAGCGTCTAATAACTGTATTCCATTGCGAAAACTGGTTGAAAATACTGAAATGCGTTCTATTGTTATTGTCTGACTTCCCGAAACACACTGAAGTTATTACGAAAAGTTGATGTCTTGTGTTTGTCAAAAACTACACCGTGAAACGCGCGCATTGCGCAACATTTGAAATTGCAAAATGACACAGAAAAAAAGGCTTTCGTGATCATTTTTTTCATCATTTTATTCAAAATATCAATACCTATTTTTAAAGTATATTTCACCATTCTCTTAAAATATATAAAAAGTGTAGTTTTTTTTTTACCCACTGATAATTAATTTATGTTTTCCTTGCGTTTTATCTTTTCTTAAACTCTTGCTTGCTCTCAAATTTGCCTTTTTCCTTTTTGCAAAATCGTGTGAAAAGGCCGGGGAAATTTCTTTTTTTTCTTCTCTTTTCAAAAATAATTCGAGAAAAACCGAACATTTAAGTACCTACAGACTTTTCCAGGAAACTAAGCAGGAACGGTGATTACTTTCCTTTTGCAAAATTAAAAATTATTCTTTTTCTTTCTCATCTATACAATTGAATAAGAGCATTTCTAAAGTAATTTTTTTTTTCAAAATAATTTTCCTTTACTTGCATGTAATATTCATATAGCAATATAGAGTATCTTTGATACATTTTTTTCCTTCCTAATCGCGTGGAAACAAACTATAATGAAAAACAAATATATAAAACCACTAGTAGAATTCATATTTTTTTCTACAAATTTCTTTTCCCCATTCATTTTTTGTTGTTTTTTTTAATCTCTTTGTCGAATTTTTCCATTCGGGATTTTTTTTACACTCAATCATGTTTGATTCTCTTTATGTAGAAATACGATTTTCTTTTTTTTTTAATATAATATGTATACAAGTATTCATGGTAGAGATTAAAGAATTAAAAGAAGTGTGAAATTATTTCGTTTTTAAGCCTAGAAAGTGTGTGAAACAGAAAAATCGTCAATGTTACTCCTTTTATCCTGACGGACAGAAAAAGGAGAAAAAAAAGAAATCAGGAAGTGTGATTCTTTAACAGAAGAAAAGAAAAGGGCAGATAAAATGTAGATTTTAGTCCTATTCTTTAAATTACTACCGTTTATCTCTTGATTTTCTCTGTCTCTCGCTATTTATTTTACGCCCTTGCTAAACTATTTCCTTCTTCTTTTCATCATCATCAGTGGCTGTGTCTGAGAAGTGGACTCTGAGGTGGAGGATCGTGTCACAGGCGGTGAATGTCTTCATGTCTCGTCGGCTGAGGCGGCTGTGGTCGTGGTGTCGGCTTCGGCTTCGTCCGGAGGGGCTTTTGAGTGCTTCAACTTCTGCAGATAGTGTCTCTGGATGGGCTTGTGGAGCGCCAGCTGCGTCAGCGCCTCGTCCACGGAGAACCACTGTCTTTTCCTGCCAATGGACCGCGAGTCCTCCCACTCGTCCAGCTCCTTCTCCACCGTGAGAACAAACACCTCCGTCCGATGCATATGCTCGCGATTCTGCAATCAAAGCGCGTTCTATTAAATGCCCAAAAGTTCCTCCGAAGTCTTTTCTTCTCACCTCGAAGACGCCAAGACAGCGGCCAAGCTTGCCAACGACGCCGGCCTCTTCCAGAACCTCTCGCTCTGCCGTCACGGAGCTCTCCTCGTCCGGCTCCACGCCACCGCCGGGCACTATCCACAACTCCGGGCGCCTCGAGGAAGTCACCAAGAGCACCTGCAATGAGAGACAGTCATTAAGATTGACGACTGGCGAGCTTCACTAATGATCATGGCATTCTTCACTTCATGAGTCACCGAAACAGTGCAGAATATTGGAGAAGAGAAAAGAATTGCCTCAAATAGAAGATAATCTACGGGATTTTTTCCTCCTGTGATTCTTGTTCTTCACCACCACAAAGCGGGGATTCACACGAATGAGAGGCAGAAAACATTAAGACAAAGTATGGGCGGTTGAATAAATATACAAAAATGGTTATGCAAAGAAATCAAGAGTCGATTAGAATGAATAAGCAAAGCTGTTTATGCAACATTGTTGCCCGACTCACGTGCTCTCTTCATGCGACACCATAAGTTGTGTTTGGAAGAGCCTCTCATAAATAGATAACAACTATAAAAAGTTTATTTTGTTTACTTCTTGTGACGTTGCTAATTAGAACAACAAAAAAACAGCCACTTGGCATTTGAATTTGTTGCCTGGACAAAATTGCAGGGGAAAAGTCCCCACAATCAAGTCACCACTCTGACCCTTATCACACTGTCTCGCTCGCACTCGCCGGCTTTTTGGGGCGCCGATTGGTGGTCAGAACAGAGAAAAAGTGCAGTGAAGGTGGCGAAATGTGGGGAATTACCTCAGTTTCCGCCTCTGAACGGACACAAATGCAGGCCGCTCGGAGTCTGAAGCCCTCCTTGTCGTAGATTCGCACAGAGTTTGGCTTCTCCTTCACCATGGCTGCCGGCTGTGCTTCTCTCTCTCTCCCGCACAGGCAATCTACCTATCACACTCGCGCAACTGACTACCGATCGCGCGTGACGTCGCGTGCAACCACTGAGTTCCTCCGGGAGTCAACAGAACAGCCACAGGAAGCGTGAGCTTTGTGGGGGCGAACGAAAAAGGGGCGACCGGGGAAACGAAACACAACAGCCCGGATGACTATCGCACACGGGGTCAGCGAACACAGGACGGTAGTCAGAGAAATGTGTTAGAGAAATCGATTTGCACCCCCGAAAAAGTCGATTGACGGCCCGAAACTGCTCATGATGGCGGCGCTCAGCGGAATCCTCTGTCCAGCTGGACACCGATGCACAGCACCTGGACGGCCCCGGAGTCCTCACAGCCCTACTGACGCGCCTTCGCGGGGCTCACTTGCTCGCCACACACGAGATAAGCCACGGCTGGCATGTCCGCGCGACACTCTTCGCACCAAATCACGTGGAAACACTGCGCCACGCGGCAGTGCGGCACACTCACACGCGCCACGGGGATCACGGGGTCACGATGGGGGCAATTCTACGCGGCAGAGATGCCCAGTTGCACGGGGATTTGGGGATTTCCGCACTCTTTCCCGGACGATCAGAAAAACCCTTGACAGCCACTGACACTTGCCACTTTCTCACCATTCATGGCGAGTGGTGGATTCCAAAACTGACCTTTCTCACCACCAAAATTGTGAGCCCCTGAAAAGGTTGAAGAGAGCAATAAAAATTATTCCTACGTCCCAGACAATTAAATTTTAATACAGATTTCTCAGCGATAATATGAGGATGATAGGGATATTCTGCATATTTTATACTGCCAAACAAAAGACGGTTTGTGTGCTTGCTAAAGTGGTGAGAACTGCCAAGATGAGAGCCAAAATGGTCAGGAGAGTTTCTTTGGGATCTAAAAGGACTCAGGAAAGTAATTATTTGGTTATATGAGTCTCGATTCAGTTATTTATAAAAAAAAAAATTGACAAGACAATCAGTCTTTTCATTTTTCAATTCCTTTTCTTCAGTGGAAATTCTTTGTTGTCACGAGAGCTCACAAAATCGTGGATTCGATGATTGACTTTGTGATAAATCATTGGTAAATAATCCTAGTGCAAATAAACTATTCTAGAGTAAGTCGATGCAGTGTTGTAACGAATGCGCTTATCAAAGAATTTTTCGCATCATATCAGAGCTTGAAATGCGCATAATTTGATAATAATAAATATAATTCTTTACTCAATCAACCGTGAAATTCCAATGCTGCTTCCCATGCTGTCCGCTCAACTGCGCTAGTCGCCGTGGAGGGGAATTCTTCTGCGTTGTCAAAAAGTGTCCGTGAAGTGCAGAGAAAGTTTTTCTCCCCGTGCAAAAGTGGCCAAAATCTCCAGGAAAAGCGGGGCAAAAGTGTGAAAAAGTGTGCAAAGAGAGTGGATAGGGGCCCACGGAAGGAGGAGAAAGTAAGAGGATGCATGTGAGTGGGCGAAATTGGCGTGTAGCTTTGTGTGAAAAGTCATCGCAAAAAATTCCTCTACGTCAATGACGTTTTCACTGTGAAGCTCTTCTTTTTCCTTGGGCACTTCTTGTATCACGCGAAAAAGGGGCAATTTGCATGGAATTTTAACACCCACCCGACTGACGACAGAGCAATAAATGTGGCTGTGAGGGAGATTGGGGGCGCCATAAAGGATATCACGGGGCCATTGCTGCGCCAATTAATGCGTGTGTCTTCTCGCCATTTGCTCCAGATGTTGAGGGAGAGTCGCGCCGTGCAGAAGATTTTTCAGCTATCATGGAGAAATTCCCACTGAGAGGCGGACGCTCGACCACATCCGCGGCCACTGGACACGGTACTTCCTACCAGGCGGTCACGAAGAAGGTAGACTCAAAACACACTCCCCAAATTTCCCAGCTCAGATCCCGCAGAATCCGCCCTCCGGGGCGCCTCCGGAGGCATGAATGAAGTGCATTTCTCACCCCCATCGCGATCCGGCACGCGTGAGAGTGCAAAAATACGCGAGAGCTTGCGCTCTGTTGACCTGCTCGCGATCGATTTTCCATCCGCCCCCGCTGGAAGGCCTCGACTCCCCCTCAGCCACGGGCTTTCCCACCCCCTAATCCCGGCCCCGCGGACCCTCTGCCCAGGAAGGGCTGCTTCGTGAATAATTAAAACTGCACATGGCACCATTTCTTCACCAACACCTTCACCAAATTACCTGTTGAGAGTGGAAAAAGTGTGACTCAGTGTTTTGCTTTTCAACCATTTATTGTGTTGCACTCATTCTTTGTCACTGTTTTCAGCTCCTTCGCGAAGGGCTGAATAAGCAATGTCGCGAAAAATAGCGCGTAAATTTCCACGAAATCAGCCGTCAAAGATAATTCGCAACTTGGTTTAGGTGTTGTGATAAGCCTTTTTGCTATCAGTTTAAAGAATATTAGTGAAAATGGTGGCTTTTTCAATTGATTTAATCACTCATTTGCACTTCTTTCATTCTATAAACTTGTCAGCTATCATTGTGATGATAAAATTGCTACTAAAATGAAGTTACACCCAAAAAACATTTCATGAAAATAAGCGAAATAATGATGATTTTCTTAGCCTGTAAAAATCTTGTTTCATGAGCAAAAATGGTTTTTAAACTAACAGAAAAAGACTTAATTTTAGCTCGAGAAATTCAGAATTTTTCAAAGAATATTTTGGAATATTTTTAAAGATTTGGAAACACTTAATTTCACTCTGATTTCACCAGAAAAGGATAATTTTAAAGCGGATAATCTTGATTTCAGTCTTCTCCGTTTGAAATCAAGACGAAAATCTTTATTAATCGGATTTCAATCTGATTATTCTTGGATTATATGCTAAAATTGACTTAATTCGAGCCCGATTTTTCTCTCAATGCTTGGAAAACGCAGTGAAATTGCAATTAAAATACAATTTATTTACCTTTAAATCAGTGAGAAAAGTGATTTAAACGAAGACTTTGAATTCTACGTTCAAATGGAGCAATTTGACTCTCGTATCTTTGAGTTCTTTTCGTTATTATTGTTTTTATTGGGCTATTGTAGGAAGTTTTCCTGTAGCGTAAAAATGCTTACATAATTTTTTAGGGTTCTCTCAGGGAATCTCTGCGTGAGCGTGAAGAATCTGTGTCGTGAAGTATTCAAGTTCAAGCGCCTCATTTATGTTATTTGCTGAGCAAATAAGCATTAATTGAGCCATTTCGGCGAGGTGTGTTGTGCTCATTGTGCTTTTTAATCATGTGACTATCGTGTGGAGGAACTTGTGTGGCTTCCAACTATGCAGAAAACTGTATAGATTTCCCCTCTTTCCCTCCCCATCATCTGCGCTTCTCATTTCAATATTAATCACGCAGCAAAAGTGTTGAATAAGTTATCAAGTCTTTAGAAATTCATGTTCATTTCTTTTTACATTCAAGGCTTTTAAAGTTCGATGGTGATTTTTTATTCTATGGATTTTCGGGGCTTCCTTGCGAGTCTCTTTCTTCTAATGTTGACATTGCGATTGTGTTTGCTTTGCAGTCAAACGGACAGAATCATCCCACGTTGACGAATACAACATCTCTGAGCAATTTGCCGCCAGAGGATGATATGATTGACATCACGCCGACGAGCGAGAACTCAAGGAACAGCACAACAATGATGTCCAGCAATGATAACGTGCGCCATCCTTCGCCGACGCACTCGCCCTTCGGCAGGGATTTTAACGATCACGACGGTAAGTGGGCCGCAGCGGCTGTGGGTGGCACAGTTGTGGGTGTAGGCGTAGTTTCCTTAGACTAAGACACAAGTAGCGGTATAGCAAGGATTGACAATATTTCACTGTATATAATTTATTTCTTTTCTTTTCTTTTCTTTTCTTTTCTATCATCAACAACAAAACAATATAACGATATTCACACGACCTTTGAAACATCACTAAAAACAAACAAATAAAATGCACAAAATTAAACCTTATTAGAGAATGTCGAGAATGTAGATAAAGAAGAAGTAACTGTAAGATTTTCCACGTCCTTTGATGGTCCGGAAGAAGGTAAGACGGTGTAAATTGACTCTCTTTGGCCACTCCCTAGATCTCCTTATGTGTGTTCTCGTTGCAAAATTCCACATTGACTCGCTAACATTTGATACTTTTTTTTATTATTTTATGCTTCACTCCTCCCACTCCTCCAATTAGAGACTCTTTTTCTCTATGCTGCCTTTTTTTCGTTACTTTGGTGTGGAAGAAATGGCGCTTAAGTGATGTTAATGACTTTTCACTCTCTCTCTTCTCTCGCTGCAGGAGGAATTTCCTTTGCCGGAATTATGGACAACTGTGATGACATTCCGGGATTGGGGCAGTATGATGATTTTCACACAATCGACTGGCAGCGCGACATCGCGAGGGACCGCATGAGGCATCGGTACATCGTGAAGAAGCGCCAAAACTCCTTGCTAGATCTCATAAAGGGCGCCCACGATGCGTGGTCTGGCTGGCTGTGCGTCCTCCTCGTGGGCATCACGGCGGGCTGTGTGGCTGGCGTGGTGGACATTGGCGCCAGCTGGATGGCGGATCTCAAGTTTGGCATCTGCCCTCAAGCCTTCTGGCTCAATCGCGAGCAGTGCTGCTGGTCGTCCAACGAGACGACATTCGACAGTGGAAATTGCTCACAAGTAAGAGAAAACCATGTTTGGCACTGTTTTTCTTCCGTCCATATCAGCGTGGCCATAAATCATAAATCGCGCAGAATTGATAGAGTGAATTTAAGCTGTCTTTTCTCTGCTTTTAGTGGCTCATGTGGCCTGAGGTGTTTTCCCAGGCCAGGGAAGGCGCCGGATCGTATATCATCTCCTACTTCTTCTACATATTCTGGGCAATGTCCTTTGCCGCGCTGGCAGCTTGCCTGGTGCGCCAATTTGCGCCCTACGCCTGCGGCTCTGGTATTCCTGAGATCAAGACCATCCTCTCGGGATTCATCATTCGAGGGTATTTGGGCAAGTGGACGCTCATCATCAAATCCGTGGGCATCATGTTGTCCGTCTCAACGGGATTGTGCTTGGGCAAAGAGGGTCCCATGGTGCACATAGCCAGTTGCATAGGTAAATCAAGCTCTCTTCCATCTGTCCAGGATGCGTGTGTGTTTGACAGTGAATGACTTTCTCTCGCAGGCAACATCTTATCATATCTCTTTCCGAAGTACGGAAAGAATGAAGCGAAGAAGAGGGAAATTCTCTCAGCGGCAGCGGCTGCGGGTGTTTCTGTGGCTTTCGGAGCGCCCATTGGTGGTGTGTTGTTCAGTTTGGAGGAGGTGAGCTACTACTTCCCTCTGAAGACACTGTGGCGATCCTTCTTCTGCGCCCTGATTGCCGCCTTCATCTTGCGCTCCATCAATCCATTCGGCAACAATCACACAGTGATGTTCTTCGTGGAGTACAAACAGCCGTGGATCTTCTTCGAGCTGATACCGTTTGTGGGATTGGGCATCATGGGTGGCATCATTGGGACGATCTTCATCAAGGCGAACCTCAAGTGGTGCCACTACAGGAAGTACAGCCGCCTGGGGCAGTATCCCGTGGCGGAGGTGCTCGTGGTGACGCTCATCACGGCCGTGATTGCGTACCCGAATCCCTACACGAGGATGAACATGAGTGAGCTGATCTTCCTGCTGTTCAAGCAGTGTGGCATCTCCAACAGCGATCCGCTGTGTGATTACAATCGCAACTTCACGGACGTGAACTCGGCCATTGAGATTGCGGCCGCCGGACCGGGAGTTTATCATGCCATTTGGCTCCTCATCCTGGCCTTCATCGTCAAGGTGGTGCTGCTGATCTTCACGTTTGGCATCAAAGTGCCGTGCGGCCTGTTCATCCCGTCGCTCTGCCTGGGCGCAATCATGGGACGCATCGTGGGCATTGGGATGGAGCAGCTGGCGTACAACTATCCCAAAGTGTGGATCTTCTCCGGCGAGTGCTCCACTGGAGAGAACTGCATCACACCCGGATTGTACGCCATGGTGGGCGCCGCGGCGGTCCTCGGCGGCGTCACGCGCATGACGGTGTCGCTGGTGGTGATAATGTTCGAGTTGACTGGCGGCGTGCTGTACATTGTGCCCCTCATGGCGGCCGCCATGGCCTCCAAATGGGTCGGAGACGCTCTGGGACGTCAGGTGAGCAGCTTTACAAATGTCTCGCATAAATCACCTTTTTTGCAGTGTGTTTAATCGGTATTTTCTGGTTAAGTGAATATGAATATGAAGAGCTGAGATTATCACAATGAGAGCAAAGTTACGAAACCAGAAATTCCCGGATTGGGAAATCTTGGGGCATTTTTTTTCTATTTAATGATAATCAACGTAAATTCCAATGTTTTTGTGATTTGCGATGACTTGCTTGAGAAATTTCATTCTGCCTAAATCGAGCATTTAATTTTGCCCTCATAAGATGCTAAACAACATAAATCTTTTAAGTCTTCTCATTAATAATTACAGATATTCTCTGTCATTTTCAAAGATTTCTGCGAAAAACCGCATCAATTTTCATGTCTTGTCGCTTTAACTTTTGAAGGGTTTTTCCCCTCGAACAAATTGCTTCAACACCTGAGCAAAAGAGATTGATTAGGATAATTCTGAAAATGTTATTCTGATGCAACATCGCGTGGTTCCTACGTGAGTTTTGATTCGTCAATTGATTTCGTGCACGAAATTTACTTTGGCCAAAATATTGTTCAAAGACCAGAAATACGCTTTTTCTATTGATTTTTTTCCGCTGTTGTTGTATATTTAGAGAGACAATTCAGCGAAATTCAGACTAATTAATGCCAAAAGCAATTTGCCATGAATGGAGGAGTTGATAAGGTGGCCAATAAACAGTCTCTTTCTCTTCCGAATTGCTCTGATAAAACTCCCACTGCTGTGAATTGTAGTGACAATAAGGCAGCGTAATGTAATCATTGGCATTTGGTGTGAGAGAAATGTAGATGAGGAAGTCTCGTAAGTGCTGATTGTCATGCAGAGCTCTTTTTATCTGTTATCACTCAGGCACAGAAGGTTAGAAGAAGATTGAACTAGAAAAAAAACGCCTACAAATAATCTCTGGAGTATTGACGTAAATTGCAGAGTTGCGAATGATATAATATGCTAACAGACTTTTGCATGTTGTCTTTTGCAGGGTATTTATGATGCTCACATAAGTCTGAACGGATATCCATTCTTAGATAGTAAGGATGAATTTGCTCATACGACACTGGCGGCGGATGTGATGCAACCAAAGTGAGTTGAGAAGATGAATTCAGGTCAATTTGGAGATGATTTATTGAGATGTTTGTTATTCTTCTGCAGACGCAATGAGACTTTGTCCGTTATCACGCAAGACTCTATGACGGTGGATGATGTTCAGGCGCTTCTCAAGGAGACAGAACACAATGGATATCCTGTCGTGGTGTCCAAGGAGAGTCAGTATTTGGTGGGATTTGTTGTGAGGAGGAATCTCAATTTGGCCCTTGGTGAGTATCTTCTTAATGATGCTGATGAGGAGGAGAGACAATTCTTATGCTGATTGCTTTCTCTGTTTTTTTGTTGTATAGAGAATGCCAAGAGGATGATTGATGGAATTTGTGGTCAATCTCTGGTGCTATTCACGTCTGGAACGCATGTGCAGACACTCGGACCGCCGCCACTTAAGATGAAGAAGATCCTGGACATGGCGCCCATTACGGTCACGGATCAGACGCCAATGGAGACGGTCGTGGACATGTTCCGCAAACTGGGCCTTCGTCAGACTCTGGTGACCCACAATGGGTGAGTTTTTGGGCAGTTTTGGAGCTTCCGCGGGAAAAACTGAGTGTCTCTGTCTCTTCCGCAGTCGCTTGCTGGGCGTGATCACGAAGAAGGATGTGCTGAGGCACATCAAGCAGATGGACAATGAGGATCCCAACACAGTTCTGTTTAATTGAATGCGCGCGCGAGTGTTCATGTTGTCCCTTCGCCCCCCAGTTCACCCCCAACAGACCTTGTCTCCCCTGTAGAGGAGAAGAGGAAAGAGGAACAGAAGACAGAGAGCATCAAAGAATTTTCTCTTTGTGTGACATCACGTGTCAATCAATATCTTTTGTATTATTGAAAATTGATATAACTATAATATTTAGGTGAAGTATTTGTTTTTCCTCGAACGGATGTGGTGAGATGTATACTTATTTTTTCTCTTCTTTTTCTTAAATCACAAGAGAACAACTAGGAAAATTGATGTGCAATTTGGATGAAAAGACGATCACTGACAGAGCGAGAGCGAGAGTGAGAGAGAGAGAGAATCAATGCATCACGAAAACAGAGCAGTGAATGTTTCTTTTTAATGCATCTAACTGCTAATTGCAATATTGATTGGTTTGTTGCTGTTTTTTTTCACGAAAACTCTCAGCTTCTCTTAGTGATTCTCTCACTTGGCAATTGTGAAAGACTATTTTTACTTCCGTGAAATGCGTCTTGAAGAATCTTCTTTTTTTGTGAAAAAAAATTGCACACGAGAACAGCGAGATTATAAACTACAGAAAATCTATCGAATTTTTGCTCTGCATAATTTATAGTGTGGAAACACACGAGTTGAAATGGAGAATTTTACACATTTTTTACTTAGTTGAGGAAATTCCTAAACAATCTATCAAGGAGAGAGAGTGATATTGATCTCCCGCTGCACTTTTGCCGAGAAATCATTGCTGATGTTTTGTGAGGACACACAGTGAAGGGTGAATCAACAGTTAAAGAAAAATAAATAGAAAACAAACATCTACTCAAGTAATAAATTTAACTATTATAATTTAACATAGAATCAAATCATTGAGCGAATGAGTGAAATAGAGGAGGATATTAAAAAGGAGGAAAACAAGTTGAAGAGAAAAAAAAATTGTAAATATTTATTAGAAAATTATTTAAATGTATACTTTGAAACGATAATGCTTGTGGTATTTCTTCAATTGCGCTTACATTGATTGGTTTTTATCTCACGTGGGAGAAGCGCAGACACCAATTAATTCCCTTTTTCTGCACTTTTATCTATTTTAAGGCAATTCGCACTGGAAAGAGTGAGAAAGAGAGGAAATTTGCGTGTTGTGATTTTGCATGGAGGAAATCGATCTAACAAGGTCTGAAAAGGAGGAGAGTTTTTCAGTGAAAGTCAGCCGACTTTCCAGGACGGTTGTTTTGGGGGCTCCGCAAGTGGCCGGCATGATTGGCAGCGATGACGAGGAGATCCGCCCGATGGACCGCGAGGGCGTAATTGTGCTGCTCAGGTGAGTGTGTGTCGTCGTCATTTCTCCAAATTTCCCGGCAAAACTCTGCGAATCCGGTATTTCGAGGCGGTGACGTCACACTCCCTCCAAAAGTATTGGTACATGCAAATATACCGTGCGCCACACTCTCACCAGAGGCTCTGGTTGGGCTGTGACAAGAGTGATGAGAAGAGAAAAGAGGAATAACGTATCCATGAAGTTGAGGCGCGAATCGCTCGTTTGGTGTTTTCTTGGCCACATTCACCTGCAACCACGTAAGTTCCATCCACCAGTGCCGTGATATCGCGTGTCCCATTTCACCTGGAAGCACCCGTGGCTGCCCGCCAAGGGCTGCGTCCCACCTCTGAGCCGTCGAAAGAGTGCTTTTTTCTGTGCGTCGAGAAAGCTGATCACAGAGTCCGAAATGTGTGTAAGTCTGACAATTTTGGCCTTCGTCAGAGAAACTCGGCGCGCGAGTGTTGGCACGATTTTCTTTCGTGTGAGTGTAAAACTCGTGTGGGGGGAGAAAAGCGAGTGTGTGCCAAAGCATGGGAGGCTCTCTTTTCCCCAGGCCAGCACGAGAAGCCACACAAATGTCTCCCGCTCACAAATACCAGCTATTCGCGCGCAATTGGCCGAGAAATGTGTGCCAATTAGACGGACTCGTGTCGAAAACAGTGATTCAGGGCCAGAAAATAATTGATATTAACTTCTCTATGACGTTGGTTGGTGAGATGTTTCACCTGTAGTCAATAAAAGGAAGATAATAGGCAATTTTTAGATTTTTTCTACACTAATTCGCAAATTATAGCAAATCTCTAATGTTTCCACGTGATATTTCTGTAAAAATCTACTGAAAACATTTTTTTTTGTGGTTTTTTCCGACCAAACCCTCAAAATTTCACTACAAAACTTTTATATACTTCGTTTAAAAGGTTTGAAAGCTTTCTAAATCACAAAATCATCTGTTGGCAAATGCTAATGAACTTAAAATTGCTGATCAGAGTCAAAATCGTCCAGAAAGTTTTCTAAATAAATATTTTCTAAGCTACTCTTTTAGAAGTTATGTTCGATCTTAGCACAATTTGTAGTATTTCTTGGCATCAAAGATGCAGAATAATATAAATTTTTGCATGAAAATGGATCATTTTGCCAATGACTAGCGATTGATGTGCTAGAATTCGAATTATTCACTAAATATGTCCTTGATTCATTTCATAACCTATTAAAGAATTATTATAATTGATTTTGTGTAAAAACAAAAGAGAATCCAAAGAAACGGGACAATTTGTCAGTAAAAGAAACACTCAGTCTTGACTTCTTCCAAGAGTTTGATACAAATGATCATAGATCTTGTCGTAGATCCTGAAGGGTGGTTTTCACTTTGGGAAAAATGCGATACCCTCAATTTCTCGTGACTCGTGAGTCAGTTTGCTGGCAAACTGCATCTCTGAGACAATATACACTTAATCTGGAAGACCTTGGAGATAGCAGAAGCACTATGAGCCAGACATTTGTTGGGGGTGTGGCTTCCAAGGCAAACTATTGGGCGAGTCACCCCCAAAAACTTATCTGCAAAGTCGCACTTTTAGCCAATGTTTTGTCATTTGAGTGGCCAAGCTGTATGGCCAAATTCCATCTGCTCATTTCCTCACAAACGTCGCAGTCCATCGCCAGCATTATGCAACGCGCGCATGGATGCAGGTTGAGATGTGAAGCATGATGATCATCGGGTCTAAAATAGTCGCCATAGTGCAACGCCTCTGTTATTTGTTTGCCCTCATTTCTCCTGCACATTGTGTCCCATCTCACTCTCGATCACGGAAGAAATGGTGTTGCCAGAGAGGGTCAGACGCTAAGATGTGCGACAGAGACCACGCCGAGTGGCGGGTTTTTTATTGTGGCTAAATATTTTGTTCATTCTGTACTTGGGTTCAGTGTGATAAGAGCCTCTTCGTGCAGTAGACGCTTCTCTCACTCGCGCACCGATAACGCGCCCCGAGTGCGATATCAGGCCGGGCGGTTCAGCGAAATTACACAATCTTGTGGTGTTCTTGCAACTGGAAGGAGCTCCTCTCGCTGCTAGGTCATCAAAAAGGCTCTCTCTGAAGTGTCGTTTCGCTGATCTCTCCGGCGCTGCCATTGGTGTGCGGAGCTGATTGAGGAAGCTGGAAAAGAGTTGGCGAGGTTATCAGTGTGTCGTGATTATTTTTATCATTGCGCGCACGAACACCAATGGAGTGATAAGAATCTGGCTACGATCAGCGCCAATTTCACCAACATTGTTGGAGAAGAGTTATAGTTGTGTCTTTGAGCGTATTGGGCTCAAGGACAACGGCGATCGCTTCGTTGCTGTTCTTGGCAGTTTCGTCTAGTTTGGCATTATAAAGAAAAGCCTAATTGAGACACACAAACACACAATTTGGTCAGAGGCCGAGGAAGTTCATTGCGAATTGGGCCAGAATTCTTATCTTCAACGACTTCTGCGGTGGCTCAATAGAGACCGATGAATATGGTGAGTGAATGCTGAAAATATCCTCTTTCCCCGATATAATCGAGAGAGAGATCGTGTGTGGTTGTTTGCATGATGAAAATGGGTGAAATGAGCGTGAAAGTTCTTTGCTCCCGCGCCATGTGAATCACGGATGAGAATTGCTTAACAACAGTGTTTGATTTAGTTAACATGCCACGCATCCTGCGTGTGTGTTTGTCCTCGAGAGTTGTTGATCAATTTGTTTACAACTTTCTCACCCACTTCTTCATGCGCGATAGCAGCGCGTTGCACACTCCTCCAACGGCTGCATCATCGCCGATGATGACTCGCACAGAATCCGCTGGAAACCAACCAGCACAAGTTCACTATCCCTTATCGCGCTCTCTCGCGCTACAGAGATGCATTATCCAGCGGACAATGCGCTTCTCCCGGGTCGATGACGTCAGCGTGTCCGTCTGTCTGATTAGCCTGACTCAGTGGCGGAGCTGCGATCACAGCCTAGCCGGCCGAATGCAAAAACTAGACATGATTTCTTGGACTGATTGTGAATTTTTTTTTGGCAGATTGCCTTTGTGATTTTCTGGGACAGCAAAACGTCTCGATAACCGTGTCTTATCAGTCCTTCACCGTCTGGCACAAAGAGAACTATATATTCACAATTTCCACCGAGCCAGATGTGTCTCGCGAGTAGTTACGTAAAGGGACAATTGATAAAAAAGATCGCGCAGTGAGATTTACGACAAGACACTGTCTAAATTTAGAAGAAAATTGCTCCTAATTTGTGTTTGCCAGGTTGTGTCACGCGAAGAGGCCAAAGAGTATATAACTTTCCTAATATTTTGGGCAAAGATCAGAAGGAAAAATATTCCTACACAAGTTGACTATCTTTTAAGTTAATACTACAAATATTTAACTTTGCATAAATTTCCGTATCTGATTTTCCCCAAGAACCAGTTATATTTCGAATTGCGAACATAGAAATTTTATTCACGAAATATCAAATTAATTCTCATTTAGTCTTATTTAACTTAATCGTGCATATAAATCAGTGATTTTTTTTGTTAATTTGAATGCTAACCAACGTCAGCTTGACTCTTGTTTAATTAGTCATTTTTTTCAAGAACTTCTCTGCACAAGTGAGCGTATTTTTTCCTTACCGGTTACAAGTAAAATCATGATTTGATAATGCCGAGTAATTTATTGGGTTAGCGCGAGATTAGGCGCATGAGTTGTTAAAGATTGCAAAGAGCGTGTATATACAATGTACATTGTAAATTTTTCAGCGATAACGCAATATTGGTGGAGTGATAAAAGTGCGGATTGATGTCATTATGTCTGAGAGAGAATGGGAATTTCCGCTTGGGTGTATTTTTTTGTTTCATGAGTCCGGCGAGACCCTCGAAAGGTCTTTGTATTGAGTGTAAAATGTGAACTTGATAAAAATAAATCATGGCGCGAAGAAGGTAGACACGCGGCGAACTGATTAATTCACGGAGAAATGGGAAGCAAAACATTTTATTGACATAAATAAAGTTCAAATAAGAAACTACCTTGTCGTTAGTAGTTCATTCATCCCGTTGAAATGGCTAGGAAGAATGTTGTTTGAAAACATTTTGGGTGAATTATAGTGTTTTAGGGCTTGTTTTTCGTTAATCCTCACTTCGATGTGAAAGCACAAAAGAACCTTTGAGTTTGAATCATTAGGTTTTTAATGCATTTTAAATTATCTCTGTAAATTTACGATGTTATCTGAAACTGTCCTTAAGCTTTAATCCAGAATATTCCAGTCAGACTTGGTTTTATATTTTTTGAAATACGTTTTCAAGTTCGAGATTTGAAATTGCCTTGTAATTTCCCCTTAAGCTCCTTGTTATCTTCCATAAAATTGATAATATTGGACAATTCCAATTATTTTCTATAACTATCAGTTGATTTTATTGGTTAGTTATTGAAATATTAACTGAAATATGTAGAGTTGAGAGACTAAATCTCGATTTTAAACACAAAAAGTCGACTTTTGAGCACCTTTTCATACTTTTTTCTGTGCATTTTGGTTAAGATTTATAACTGCAATGATGAGATTTATTAGCTAAATAAATTCCCAACTAATGTCCAAAAATGTTGTAAATGATTTAAAGTGGATTTAAGGACGCAAAACAACTAAAAGGACACAGAAAAACATACAATTTTATATGAATCTCTGAATTATTTTTCAGAAAACCGAAATTTATATTTAAATATCAAATATTGACTTTAAACTCTCTAAAAGTCGACTTTTAATGGTTTTCCAGAAAGCCGTCGAATTGTTTTTGATCATTAAATTTAAAAAGGGTTTTTAAAGCATGTCTCATTGAGCCCTTGACTGGAAGGTTAAGAAAATGTTCCAGAGTTTTAAACTACAGAAAAATCTTTATTTTGTCTTCCAAGAAGTGTTATGCATTTTGAGACGTTAAGTAATGTTCTCCAAAAAGATAAGTCAGTCAGCAAAGTAGGGTGAAAAGTGGGTGTTTGGACTATTTCTAGATATCAATGCTCTCGGCGGCATAACTGCTCTCTCGCGTTGTGCGTGAGTTGGAGCAATGAAAGAGCCGTTTTCTCAGTGAGGCAAAAATATAAAAATACACTTCAAGTACTTTAAATGTCTGAAATCGACACGAGTCAATGCCAGTTACAGCATAAAGTGTATCTTATGTGTGTGAGCGAATTCTTGAGACTCTCGGAAGTAATTTACAAAATCAATTGAATTTCACAAGATTCATAATGAGCAGCTGTTTCCTCTGCTCTGCTCCCGGTTGACGGTGCGCACATGATCCAACAACACTTGTGCCGTTTCGCCATCGCCACTTTAGTGAATGAATTCAGAACATTTCTGGGTGATAAAGATGAATTTTAATGCTTCCAGGGAGTGAAAAATGAATTTGTCTAAAGTTCAGGGACTTTTGGGCGATTAATTCAAATTTTATTCTCCTGCTATCGATAATCGCGCGGGAAATGTTAGAGTGACTGCGGCGAAGAGAGTTTCCTTCTCTCGTCTGAGACAAATGGGCACCGCGCGATCGCGACGCGGAGGCTGCGAGTGGCAAAAAACGACAGAGATGAAAGAGAGTGAAAAGTCCCCCAATCAAGTCCGCCCCAATGACGAATGCAGTTCCGGCGATGATCCAACTCGTGATGGGAAATTGATAAATGATCTCCAACTGATTCACAATCTTCTATTTACTCTCAACAAATGATCACGCGCTTCTTTTCCGCACAAGGAGAGCATCGACAGCATAAAAAAAAACTCGCGTTCAGTAAGGAAATTAAACAAAGACGCGCGATGCTTAGTGTGTTTTTTCTGGCTGTCCAAACTTTGACGTCCATCCAATGGGGAGTTGAATTTGCAGAAATTCAGCAAATATTTGACTCCCATTCGCAGTGTTGTCAACCGAACAGTTTCTGGTCAATTATCTAATCGTCGGTTGTGATATTGAAAGGCAACGCATGTGAATTAATTAAATGGAAATATCAAATCTTGTTCTCAAAAAGTGATAATAGAATCACTGTAAAATCTACTTAATAATTTTTTTTTCTCTCACTTCATGAACTTTTCCCAGTAAGTATTTTAATGCATTTTCCCGTGGTAAAAAGTCACTCACTGGATATTTCCATAGGCTTTTTCGTGGCCCCTTTTGACCACTTTACTGAAACAATATCTCTGATTTGTCTGCTTTTTTTTGTGGCCAAGGAAGTCTCTGAATCACCTTTCAACGCACTAATGAGTGTGTTTTACGGCAATTTAGTGACTGCACGGAAAAACTGTAGCAACTTGAATGATGAGCATTAAGATGAGGCGCAAAGTGTTATGATTTATTCATATGATTAATTGTGGTTTTAATTGCCAAAAATCATAGCGCGACTTTTGATGCGTTCCCATCAAAAGTGAATGACGCAAAATCACCTTTTTCCTCCTTCGCGCGGAGGCCAATTTAGGAGGAGAGTGCTGAGAAGGAAGATAATTATTGTCTTTCCCTGAAAAATATGAATTTCATTAGGAGGGAAAAAAGTCAACAGTGGACGATTCTATTGTTGCACTTTTCGGTGGAAATGTGGGAGAAAAGACGGTTGATGTTTTGTAAATATTGCGACTTTTATTTGGACTTCTTATCACGTTCTTGGAGGTCCGCTAGAGGGGAATTTTTTTTTTGCAATGTTGCAAAGTGCATTTCGGGTGAGACAACATGTGTTTGTGTTGTTTTCTCCGAGTGCAGTTCTTTCGACGCGGACGTGGTTGATAAAAATCTGCGCGTTATTAGTGAAAATTGTACATTTGCATCTAATTGCTGGCTGATTTGTGGGAATAAATGGGTTTTGGCACATTATATTTTTGCTGGATAATATGACATTAAGCATCTGTGTGTGTCTCCACTCATGTAAGCGATCTTGAGTGATTTTTGTACGAAGCTCACATACAGCGTGAGCCAATAAAAAACCACACAAGACGTCAGACTCCGAAGCCGCTGATTCTATATAAAAGATCCGATCGACTCGGTGGCAATAATCAGTAACACGTTACCTTTTGTCTCGAGAACCCATCTCCGGAATATATGAGGAAGGGGATTTCGCTGTGATCTCGCGATCTCGGAGTCGTATTGAAGTTGTTGTATATTTTTGGGGGAAGAAACTCATCTCGACGCGTTTGTTTCAAATAATATATTTCCCACACATTTTCCACCGCAAAAAGTCCACCTTTAGAGTGAAGAGGGAGATATATGTATAAATCCGCATCCAAAGTGATCGTGCAGTGAATTGATCATCGTCGTGATTTTCACGAAAACGTGCGCGTGTTTTTATGGGGGAGAGGAGAAAAAGAATTACCATCTTGGAAGCATCCCAAGTTATCTGGCGATCGCACTGAGCCCATATTATTTCTGGTGTTTGTGTGTCTTGTTTTTCCTTTTTGCATTGCGCGTGAGTGCGAAAAAAGGTGCAAAAAATTACAATAAAACGTAAACAAGTCGTGATATTTGCAATAAATAGCAACTTTTTTCCAACATAAACTCTTGAGTGCAGTGCTGAAGGTGATCTTTATCCCCCAAAACGATCACCAACGGATCAGTGCTACTGGTTGTGGCGGGAAATTAGTCACAGGAAGATAATAATGGAAACGCTGGTGAGAAAATCTCACCATCAGAGACAACCTTCTCTGGGGAAATCAATGCCAATGTCATCGCTGATCATTGATCTCAATGGCGGTAAAAATATCACAATCACGCAAGACGGACGGTCGCCGGACAGGGAGGCCACGATCCTCTTTCCGGTGGCCGAGGAGCCGGAGAGCGAGGCCCTGAGGATGGATCTCATGAATCCCATGCTCGCTGAGGCGCTCACAAAGACGTCCATGCTCACATCTCCGGCCGCTCGCAGGCGTCTCGTGGCCAGAAAGATGGAAATGGACGCCAATGCGTACATCTCTGGTCACCAAGATGACCTGGATTATGTCCCGCCTCGGGATCTTCTCGTCTATCTCGTGAGGTAATGATTGCTCCTGGATTTCTGCACAGAGAGAAAATTTCTCTCAGTGCTTCAACATGAAATCTCCGATCGCGCGTTCTTCACCTTTTATGCGAGTCGAAAGTACACCAAAACACTCTTGAGTGTCGTGTCCTCTTTGAACCAGTTTCGTATCGCCTCTATTGTTCCTACCTGACAGTATCATTAATTTATGGCCTCTTCTATTACAACACCGATAAGGCGCAGTGTGTTGTGCATTCGCTGGACGCGAAGGTTCTGTCCGGGCGAACAGGTATTCTGGGAGCTGAAAGAGATTTGTTAAAAGCAAGCCCATAAGGAAGATTGTAGGCCAACACGGGCCTGAGTTGCAAGAGTGGGAGATTTAGAGTTTAGAGTGTGCTCGAGAGCGCGCCTGTTTTGCCGGAACAATATAAACACCGGAAGAAAAACAGTGATCGCGCGCGAGTCTTTAATAATTCATACCGCGGCGCTCGTTGTTAATAATAGCGCGCAATCCGTGATCAATGGGAGTCTGGGCAGCAGTGGCTTTCGTCGTGACACAAGAACTGAGTCAAGGGAGAGACGCATTTGTCCGCACAACTCAATCTGTCTTCCGATTTCGCATCCGGAAGTGCGATGCTCATGCCGATGGCGAGTCCATCACTCATCCAGTGTGCTTTCTGTGTGCTTTTTTTCCCTCATTTGTGTGCGTGGTGTATGCCAAGAGGTGGAAGGGCGAAAGAGAGATGCAAGACAGAGTGGGCATGAGTGTGAAAAAGCTCATCGAACGTGCAGCGAGTTTACCTGGTGGAAGCCAAGGTTGAATTTATGATTTACATCGTCACATTTGAAATCACTCTGTGGAGAGAGAGAGAGAGAGAGAAAGAAAAAAATCGGTTATTCAGCGAGGAAGTGATTTCCTCTCGTGAGTGTATGGTTTATCTGTTAAACTTGAATTTCATGATCATTGTCACTCGAAAGATCGCTCTTTTTGCGCCTTCTCTCCATTCGCCATTTCTCATTCCGCCTTTTCTCTCCGTGAATCTCTTGAGTGAGTCTTTGCGGCTCTTTTTTCACCTGTTGGCACTTTTGCTACGGCAAAGACATGTGAGCGATTGTCTACACGTGGAAAAGTTAATTGTAATTAAGTTTATTTGATAGTTAAAATCCCGCCCACTTGTAAGCTCCGCCCATTGAAATATTGTTTGTCGTATTTCTGCATTATTGTCAGTCTAAAGTCAATTCAATCACATGTTTTCTGATTTTATTACAAGATATTTCAGTAATTTTAATAATGACATCTTGAAAGTCAACAAGAAATAACTCACATTTAATTATATTTCTGTTTTTGCAGTCAAAAATTACTATAAATATCAGGTTTGATTCCATACAATCGTTGGCGATTAAACCGTGCAAAATTTCTCACTCTCTTCCTAATTGCACATCACTTCTCTATTATTTTCATGAATAAAACATCTCCAAATTAATTGATTACATGCGATGATTGTCATCTATTCCCAAAGTTACGCACAATTTCCATCCGTGTGAATTTGTAAGTTGTGAGCTTGCATTTTTATTTGTATTGTTTGTTTATATTTTTTCTCCTCTCACTAATTGAAGAGTCCAGCAGAAGTGTTTTTGAGTTATGTAACAAATTGATTTCCACTTGGGAAAAAATGGCATTAGAAAAACAACATTTGATCTTTTTATGCAATTAAAACAAGTCGCGCGCAGAGTGACTCTGAGTGGCGCGTATCTTTTATGGTGTTTTTAGGTAATTCTCGAAGTTGTTGGTGTTTTGTATGTGATTTGAAAAGTGTGTGAATGAGACAGAGTGATGCATAAGTTGGAATGCAAATAGAGAAACTTTTACTTTTTTGTGTTGTTTGTAGGACATCGAACCAGAAATTGCAGTCTTCGACAACATGATACCAATCAGTTGAATCGTGCAAGTTGTCTAAAGTGCGTCGAAAAGACACCCAACCACTCGAAGAACGTCTCTCTCTCTTGGTGGATTTCTTGCAATTGAACAAAATAAACAACACAAGAAATTAACAGAACGAACTCAAACTCTGATTGAAGCAGTTCAGTGTACAAAAACAAAAAAAAAGTTGTAAGGAAGATAAGTTGCAAATTCCGGGAAAAAAACGTCATTCTGTAATCAGTCGCAAAAGTCTAAAACAGTGGACGCGATCTTTTAACACTTTGATAACAGATTAAGTAGAACGCAGAGAGAAAAAAGAGAGAGAAAATGGGGCTTCTGGTGAGGCAAATGAAATTCTTGGTGACTTCTAGAACTCTAACCCGTCATCTTTCGATTCCAAGGTAAAGAAAGATTCTCTTTAGGAGCGCATTTAATCACCATTCATACCCAACTGTGTGACTCAATTGCCAAATATTATTCCATATTTGATGTGGTGAGAGAAAGAGCAGAAAATGCTAATGAGGAAATTTGGTGGAATGGACAATGTGTGCCGAGGGGTCACGTACAGGTCATCAAAATTGATATTGCGCAATGCTTTTTGGTGCGCAAAAGAACGCAAATTGGTCTGAGTGGCGATTATTGATAGTGGCGAAACAATGCAGAGTGTGTGAAAATAGCCCGAGATTGGAGGTTTAGAGAAAGACATCCTTGAGCGATTCCTTGCGCAAATTGTGCGAAAAGCAACCGTAATTAATCACCACTAATTCAATGAAGTGCATCTCTATTCACAATATAAAATTAATAGTCGCGAGAAGGACGACTAATCATTTTAGCGGTCAATTTATTTAAAGTAGCTAAATATGTACGGTAAACGTTCAATTAATCTACTGCCTTGTCATTTAATGTCCGCTAATGAGAAGGAGTGAAAATAGTCGGGAAGTGATATTGCATTCAATTGCAGTTCATTTATTTATAGCTTGTCACTGGAATTACAACATTTTACCCTGTCATTTGTGTACAATTTATGTTACGTTTGCAAACTAGACAAAACAACCGATTTTCTCGCATTGTTTGACTCTCCGGGGCAATATTGCATGGAAATATTGGGAATTTTCAACACTATTTGTATCCAATACAACAACTTCATGACGCACGTTTGACTATAACCTTCATTAACCCTGTGAAAGTGTTAAGTAGTAAATGAATTATCGGGCAAACATTGTCTCCTGATCGTTGTGTCGCGAAGAAAACAAGCGGCAATCACTCTGCCGAGGCCTTACTCAAATAGAACCCAAGCTCAGGTCCAGGACAAGAACTCTGGTGATCTCGCTGTGAGCTATGCAAATTCACGCTCAGACTCAGAGATACCCATCAATTGACCCTCTTTCCCACTGCATTCCAAAATGCGGAGCAAGCTTCTTACTCCCTCAGTCGAGATCAGTCAATCTCCGAGATCACACGCGTAGGTGTGCGATCATGATGCGCAAAGTTGTCCTCCGCGAGTGGCAGGAGCGGAATCCTTCGGCAAAATGCGATCGCAAGACACACTTGCAGAAGATCGCCCTCCAGAGGTTTCTTTTATTCCTAATGACGATCTCCAGGTATTTGCTGATCATATTTTGTTGATGGTTTCCTTGCAGGATGGGCTCCTTCAACTCCACACCCAAGTTCAACAATGAGGACAACCAGGATGACGATGTGGAGATTCCGGCTGGGCTCACGACCAGCGATCTGGTGCATCACTGTCGCATGATGCGAGGCGATCAGCGTCCGCAGTTGCTCACGCGCTACTTCCTCAACCCAACAGATCGCTGCTTCGCCTCGCAGGACATCGCGAATGGCATGAGGCTGCTGAATTTGGACGCCGTGTCGAAGATCTGCAGTGCCCCGGTGTCCTCGCCGCGCCACATCCGCGTCCTGCAGTGGAACGTGTTGTCTCAGTCGCTGGGCCAGAAGAACGACGGCTTCGTCAACTGTCCGGATGAGGCGCTAACGTGGGAGTGTCGCAAGTACCAGATTGTCCAGGAGATTGTGCAGAACGATCCGGATGTGGTGTGTCTGCAGGAGGTGGACCACTTCAAGTTCCTCCAGATGACGCTGGGCACTCAGAACTACGAGGGCGTCTTCTTCCCCAAGCCCGACTCCCCGTGCCTGTACGTGCAGTCCAACAATGGGCCGGACGGGTGTGCCATCTTCTACAAGAGGAACAAATTCGATCTCGTCAGCTGCTCCACGCGCATCCTGCAGGTCTGGCGCGTGCAGAGCAACCAGGTGGCCATCGCGGCCATCCTGCGGGTCCGGCAGTCCGGGAAGGAGCTCTGCGTGGGCACCACCCACCTCAAGGCGCGCCACAGTGCTCTGCTGTCGAAGCTGCGGAATGAGCAGGGCAAGGATCTGCTGCGCTTCATGTCAGAGGCGTCCGGAGACAGGCCCGTGATCTTGTCCGGAGACTTCAATGCCGAACCCGTGGAGCCTGTGTACAGTACAATCCTCAATTACGTCCCACTGGGACTGTCGAGTGCCTATGCGGACGCCGTGGAGGAGGATCGCAGCCTGCCCACAGAGGCGCACACGGATTGCCATCGCAGCGAGGAGAGTCTCACGAGGCCGGAGGTGTCAGCCCGTCGTGAGCCACCGTACACAACGTGGAAGATCAGGGAAGACGGAGAAGTCTGTCACACCATCGACTACGTCTTCTACTCCAAAGATAAAATGAAGGTGAGACACTTTCCCTTTCTAAACTACAATTTCCCGGCCAGTGACGCGCAATTGTGTTCTTGAAAGTCCGCGGGCAATTGAGAAAGTTTATCATGACAATAGAGAGACAGAATAATCACAGTGACAAGCGTATTTACTGATGCATTTTAATCTTTTCAGGTTAACAATTGCCTCATGTTTCCTCAAGATAACGAGATTGGAAAGGATCGCGTGCCCAGCTTCCAGTATCCATCCGATCACTTCTCCCTCGTGTGCGACTTTGAGCTGCACGAGGGTGAGGATCACTGATTACACACATCCGAATTATCCTTGTCAGCTCTTAGTCCGCGGTGAAGGATTTTCCATTAGCAGGCGAAAGGACGTTGCTCAACGGTTGAAATGAAAAATGCTGGAGATTAATTATTACTTTTACAACATGCATTGCAGGATTTATGTGATTTTCCAGAAGATGAAGCATATTATTTCACACTGTTGTTCTCTACAATGTAAATAATAAAACTACTTGGATATTTATTATTTTGATAAAAACTGGAGAAAGATGTTGAATTGAGGATTGTTGGAAGAAATAAATTATTTTTCTATGAAAAAAAACAAGCAAACAAAGAGCGAAGAAATTGAGAGGAATTGCGGCGTTTGAGAGACATTCGAAGAGTTTTTCTTCATAAAACCATTATCTCTTTATTAGTTCCTGCTATGTAGGCTCGACTACATTAAAATTGTTAAAATCTTGCGTGACTCCTGTTTATAATTACATGAATTAACAATTCAACAATATAATCGACAATGTCTCAATCACGGATTGGCTTTTCGCTGATTTAGGGCCTCAGGCAGGCTGAATTAGAGAGACGCGCGGCGTGTAAATGCATTGTGAGTATTATGCTTTTGGGTGGTGAAATCTTCCCTGCTTTTTTGTGCGTCTTTTTGTACCACAAACTGGACAACTACATGAAACTCAGTATGATGTCGCGGACGCTCGTGTACGTGCCGGCGACGAGGCCGATCACGCCGAAGATGATCAGGAGAATGTCGCGAATGAGAACGAAGCGACAGGGACCGAGATTGTCGGGCCACAGCACGCAGATCTCCATGATGGCGGGAAAGGCGATGCCCAGCGCGGACAAGCAGAGCGCCCCGAAGAGGGATATGAAGAGTCCGAGACGGGGAATGGCCACAGCCAGCAGGAATGTCATGATCACAACCACGATTCTCGTGACGAATTCCCACATCAGCTTCCTCGGCGAGTCCTCGAAGCGCTTCAGCAAGTACTGATTCCAGATGATCTCCACTGGAACGTAGCATTGCAGGCCGTATGAGATGAAGATTGCCACGGCGAAGATAATCGTGATGGCCTGAGCGGTGCTGGAAAGGCGACAAAGAAGAAGTTGAGAGAAATACTGAAAACTCTCAGGAATTCTCTTCCAAAATAAATGCTCATTCGCGCTTCAAATCTGTTGCTAACACTGCTCTACTTTTCCCTTTGCTATCTATATCTACATGGTTAAATTTGAATTGTTTTCTTTCTAGGTATAAATAGAATAGTTCACATATAAATTTCCTATTGTAAAATCGATAGAATGTGTATTTTGTCGAGTTGTCTTGACAAAATCCCGTCACAATTCCAACAAATAAACTATCTCAGCTCTGTGCCAAGAATTAAACTGTGTCAGGAAGTCATGATTGGAGCTTATGGCCCGGAAACCTTCTGTATCAGCGCAACAAGTTGTGAGAAGAAGCTTACAATTTGTTGAAAAGAAAATTGGCTCATTCTGTGAAATACTCACACGTCCATTTGTGGGATGTTGAGGGTGATGCTCCCTTTGGCATCTGTGCCGAACTTGAGATAGCCGAGAAAGCCGATGATGGCATAGAGAATCGTGATGAAGAACATGCCAATGTTCAGCACACCGAAGTAGCCGCCAAAGTTCTTCGGTGTCTTCATGTTGTTCTCAAGGGCAATGACAACACCCACAGCTTCCAGGGCGAAGAGAACTGTGCCGAAGAAGAGTGGGAATTTTCCAACGGCTGCGAAGGCGTCTCTGGCGCTCGGTCCTGGAATGTCGTCCAGGATGTACGTGAGAATCAGCCCAATGCCAACGAAGGTGATCAGATTGGCGAAGCTGGAGAATGGCGCCAGGAGCTTCAGGTTCCTGATGCAGTTCAGCCCGATCAGGGGCATCAGGAGGATCAGCATGTGAATCTTCACGTCTATCTCGATCCAGTAGTAATCCACGAGTTGCTTGATATTCGTGGCCACGAACACAATGTACACACAGCAAATTCCCAGCTGGTAGATTATGAGGAACACATCGACTATTATCGCGGAAGCTCGAGCGTAGGGACGCAGAGTTTTTGGTCCTTGCTCCAGCGCCATTTGCATTGAGGCTGGAAACGTGAGGATTGGCAAGCGATTTCCTGCAAGAGAGCCAGAGAAAGCATGTCAATTTGACTGGCAGGCGTGCATATTAGTCACCTGACGGTGGAATATAATTTTAGAACATTGTTGCAATTTTGGCACAATTTGCCAAACAATTTATAGAAATCATTTGAAGCCATAATGAGTTTGTAAGTGGGGAAAATGCCTGAAAAGTCAACTTGAGAGTAAATCAATCAGTCGGCTGAGTAATGTGGAAATGTATGAAAAGTGACAATTAATTACTGGGTATTCACGCGATGAATTTATGAGGTAGAAAATGGAACATTTTCAACAATAAATTGGGCGACCAAATCCGACATGTCATTGTTGTTGGACGCACATTAATTTCCGAATGCTTAACTGTGTGAAGAAGACAAATAAAAGTAATTAAAAACTCACTTTTGCATATGATGTATTGCGTGCGGACGAGAATGTGCAGACAATAGGTGCACAGTGCACCGATGATGATTGTATTGATGAAACCTGATACGTATCCGGAGTTGGCAAAAGCTTCCGGCATCGCCAAAATACCCGTTCCGAGTGATCCCTTGAGAATGTGAATGAGTGTCTCGATGTTTGTCGTGGGGTGAGGCACATTCCGGTGCATGTGCGGATCGTAGTCCTCTGTTGCCAGCGGCGAGGACTCGCCATCCTCGTGGTGGACAGAATTCCTGCAAAAGCGGCAATTGAGTTAGGCGCCAGTCGCTAGCAAATCTAGGCCACTCACTTGTAACCACCCTTGTCTCTGTCCTCCACCAGCTGCAAATTAACCCCCTCCTCCTTCGTCTCCCTCGGCGAGCTCATCTTCCCTCCACTCCTAGATTGCGCAACCACAGACCCTACCTTCGAGCGCGCCTAGATCAGCGTCAATTGGCAAGCAAGCTGAAAATTGGCCAGCAATTGGCAAACAAATGGTCTTAAATTGAGTTGAATTGAAATGCACTTTGCAGGCGTCAAGTGAAAAGCATATTTATTGCATTTTCATCATTTTTCCCACTAGCGCAAATAGATCAATATTTGTTCACCCAATCTTTGTACTTTCGCATACAACAACCGCCCGACAATGAGTCGCGCATTTAGCAACTCTCCCGGGGCACGAAATGTGAACAGGGAGCAAGAGTTGATAAGTTTTACTTAATTTTCAACAATTAACTCAATGTCGCAAGTGACTTTTTTCCGCTCTCTCTCTGTCCAGAGGAGCAAATGATAAGTCTTTGAAGAGCGTAAAAGAACGTTTGATCTTGATCTCCTGATCTTTTTATGTGAAATGTTATGATTACTGTGTCGATATTCTACACGACATTATAGTCTTTTTCCCTGTCACGAACTTGCTGTAAAATCATCAGCACATAAGCTTCATTCATAGACTATGCACTGAAGAGATTGTATGACATTCCAATGATTGGATTTTGATACATAAATCCAGGAATAAACCAAAAAAAATGTTCCAATAGACAAAACAAACTTATTTGTTTATATTTATAACGCCAAAATCACACTTCACACTGGTCAAATTTAATGCAAATCTCAATCACAAGTTTATTTGCACCAGAATAAGTTTTGGCGACAGGAAGTTCAGTTGAAAATGAAGGTCAGTTTAATACATATTTCCATCAGTTTTGACCTATTAAATCTCTATTTACTATCTCCAATATAGCAAACATTAAATAAAACACTGAGAGTAAATATCTCGAGTATCAATTACAGTGCATCACTTTATGCTCACAAACTGCAAATTGGCACATTATAAGGCTTTATGCTTGTGGAATACACAAAAAGGGTCCCGCGAAGTTGAGTGCCAACAAACAGGAAATGTCATAGACAATTTCTTGCAATTTCCGACCGCTCGAAAAAAAAGCGCGTGTCTGAAAGAATGCATTCAAGAGGTCCATTCGCATGCATCTGCCGTGGATATAAATAACTGAACGAAAAATTAATTGGAACAATAGTGCGTCAATTACTCCGTTTAGCATTACAAATGGATCTAAAATGAAATATATTGCGTATTTCCGGTGTCTAATGCGATAATCCGCCCGCGAGGATTATGTAATTTCCAATCACTTTCTCAAGAAGAATCCCAACAATTCACACTTCAGAGGCTTCACGACATTTTCCCACACTTTTTTCCCTACTCGCGTTCAGCGATGGAAAATGCGCCACTCGCAGACAGATGGGCAAAAAAAATGCAAGCGAGAAAACCACCCAGAGCCAAACACCCTTTTTTCCGTACCAGACGCTTCGCTTCCTCGCCACAAACTGGCTCTTCTCTGGTCAATAACGTACCCTTTTTCCCGTGCCACCAGAAACTCACACACTCGACCGCACTTCACATGTGGAGGAGCCACGCGAGATGCTCTGGCAGAGACTTAAGAATCCAAGTGCTGACGGTCACAGTGTGCAGAAAAGTTACATCACTTGCACGCGTGAAGATATCATGGTGTTTGGCGGTCCAACGAACGCAGTTACGCCACTGAATGGATGCAAAAGTGTGAGTCACGGTTTTATTGCAGACTTTCCGGATGAACGATGGGCCACTCGTGCGCCATTCACCTCGCAATACTACGTGCTCAGCCCAAAAGGTGGGAAGCGTCGATGAGACGATTCATGCGCAAAAGCTCCCGCCAAATGCTTTTCATCGATCCACCCAGCGGCGCTGAAGCACAGATTGAGCAATGCATTACATGAAATGAGTTCCTCTATTTCGCTGCTCTTATATTTCATTATTGCTGAAGATTTTCCTGTGGCTTTGATGGACTACGAATGATATTTATTACGACTATTTCCATTTGATTGTGTATTGTCAATTTCAATATAAATTCGTGATAAAATTACATATTGAATTTATGAACTTTTATACTCTATTGACAGAATTGGAATTTAAAAGTAAATTGAAGGAATTAAGGAATATTTCCAATATAATTGAGCTTAATATTTACGTATATAGCTTGCTATGCGTGCAGAAAAACTACTTACATCGTAATGATAAGTACAGCTGGGCTTTTGATAATGAAAAAGTGTCACTTGAGTCACATTTGTTTACATTCTGGTGGCAGAAAATATGCCAAAACACAAAATTGAACAGCGAATAAATTTTAAATTCCTCGTGAAATTGAAGCTCAGTGTCAAGGAGAGCTGTGACAGGCTCAAGGAAGTGTACGGAGATGATTGCATATCGCGTTCGCAGACTCTTGAGTGACACAAAAAATTCAGAGACGCTCAAGAGGAAGTGACGGACATTGAGATGCCCGGATGTCCTGTTTCATTTTCCAGGGACAATTTAGGACGATCCAGGGTTGAATTTGCAAGGAATAGCGTCAATTGTTGGAATTGATAAGAAGTGCGTTCGAACAATTTTGCGCAATAAATTGTGGGAAAATTATGTGATTTTAGATACTAAAGACATTAAAGATTCTGAAGATAAATAAATAACAATGATTCATATTTATATATGTGAGTTTTTTTTATTATTATGTACTATGATTTCTATGTAAATCAACTGTGACGTCAATCAGAATCCAGATGTTTCAACGCAATGTTTTATTATTAAAAGACCATCAGTTTCCATAAAATAATTCTTTATTCTTTCACTGAATATTTCTCAAATTTCACAATCGATTAAACAATATATATATATTTATATTACAATTTGTTCCTCATGGAAGAGAGTTTCGAAAGAGGAGGACAATTTAAATAAAGTGCAAATTCTATTTGACACTTGAAACAGTGTCACAGCAATTTCATGCATTTCTCTCCCAAACATCGATGATCTTCGGCATGTTCTGATCATTACAGCATAAAATCATTACTTTGTCATGTGAATTCCCTTCGCGAGAGAAATCTCCATTCATCTGTCGACAAACTTACGAGATAATTAAAGCTAAAATGTGAATCAAGAGTGTTTTTTTTTAGTCCTATTTTGGAGATTTTATTCTACAGCTGTTTTTTTTTATCCTTCAATATATCGCATTTTCTTCGGTAAATTAATTCACTTTACACTACTTTAAAGTCAATCTACAGTTAGTTGTAATAATTATTAGAAATACTAAAGTAGAAAATGTTCTCGTGAGGAACATGCGTAATCTTTTCAGCGATTATTTATAAAAATCATATCACAATGATGTGAATAGTGATAATTTCTCATTTTGTCGGAAATGAGAAATTTTTCTTTTTCTTTTATCTTTAGAATCATGTCGTACAAAAAGGAGCTCTATAGAGAAGTTTGTTTTAGCATTCAACAGAAATACGGTAATGGAATGTGCAAATAATACTAGCCATCCTTCTGTAAAAGAGCGAACGGATATGATCTCTTGAGTATGAATCCTCGCGTCTCTGGTGGGCTTCTAGTGGTGACCCTCGCCGCCCTCTTCGAAGAATGTCGCAATGATGTCAGAAATACTCGTGTAAGTGCCAACAACCAGACCCACGACGCCAATAAGGGCGATCACGACATTCTTCAGGACCATCATGACCTTCTGTGCGCCCTTTCGCTCGTTCCAGTAGCACGCCGTCTGCATCCAGGCCGGGAATGCCAGGCCGAGCGCCGACAGGCACAGGGCGCCGAACAAGGAGATGAACAGCTCGAGATTGGGAATGGCAACAGCCAAGAGGACTGGAAGCAAGAAAATACAATTATTTTAAAATTAGATTCACGTGCAGTTGAGCAGTTGCGGTGTCATTGGCTTGACCTAGGATTTATATCTCTCTTATACAGTGTACTAATATGTGGAGGAAAAAAAAATTAATAGCACACTATATAAATCCACATTGTTTCTGCTTGTTAATCATGATCATTTGAAACAATGGGTTTTCATACAAATTTTGCACCTTGTATTTATATTTATCTCATTATTGTTGTCTGCTAAATTGTACTTACAAGTAACTAGCACGAGCATTGTCCGAGTCACATACTCCCAGAAGATCTTCCGAGGACTCTCGGAGAATCTCTTGAAGATGTAGTCATTCCAGGTGATATCAATGGCCACATAGCAGGCCAGGCCGTGAGTGATGTAGATGGCAAAGGCCAGCATTCCTTTTACACTCTGAGCCAGACTGCAAAGCAAGGACTCGCGTTAGTCTCAAGATCTTCTGATCAGCTGCTCAAGACTTACATTTCACTCGAGGGCAGATTGAGTGTGATGGAGCCAAGAACGTCTGATCCGTAGTTGACGTAGCCAAAGAGGCCCATGCCCACGTAGAGTGTCACAATGAGGATCATGGCCTTGTTGAGGACACCAATTGGGCCTCCGAAGGCCTTTGGAGTTTTCATTTCATTCTCCAGTGGCAAAATCTGCGAATCAAGCGGAAGGTTAAAGCATGCTATCGCGTGGTTTTCTAAACATCAAACTCACCACTCCGATTGCTTCTAGCGCAAAGAGGACTGTCCCGAAGAAGAGTGGGAAATCTCTGAGTTTCCCAACTGGCACGAGTCCTTCAAACGAGATAGGCTCTCTGAAGATGTAGTAGAGAATAATGCCAAAGGAGATGAGTGTGATGAAGTTGGCAATGGTGGAGAAGGGCGCCAGGTATTTAAGGTTTCTCACCCAATTGATGAGAATCAGTGGCAGGAGGATGATCAGCATGAATAGCCTCACGTCTGTTGGCTCTTCCGTGTAGTAATCGACAATGGACTTGATGTTTGACGACACAAACACCACGTACACGCAACATGTGCCCAGTTGGTAGATGAGCAGAAATGTATTGATCACGTGTCTGCAAGAAATCGTCATATAGAGTGGTTCAATCAAGGCGATGTCGCAATTGTTTGTCGATCTGGGCGCGGAAGACGTAAATTTCGCGCGTATTTGCGTGTGTGACACACACAGAGTAATTGTATTAAATGCCTTTGGACTCGCCATTCATTGAAATCTCTTTCACCCTCGCCAATTTGCTCTGGGTTGGAATTAACAGGCCAATCGTACGAGAGGAATTCAACAATTTATGTATTGCGTGCGCGTTTTATTAATAGAAAAGATGAACCACTGCCATGGCATATCGTGAGACGGAGGTGCTTTTTTATTTTTGGACCATTTCAATTAATTCCGCCGACAATGATCGCATTCATGAAGATCGATGGCACAATGCTAGGACGGTCATTTTTTCAGGGGTGCGCAAGCTTAATGGATATTATGAAGCACGCACGAAACTGAGCTTTTACGTCTTGTAATTAAAATGCAAAGAATATAGTTAGAAGTTGATTGTCGCTGTACTTTTTAATTCCATATCATCTCAGGGCCAATTAATTCGCAAATTGGGCAACAAAAGCGAACGGGAGAGAATAGACACGTTTCATTAGCACTTTCGGGTGTAAAGTTTAACATTCTCTCGTATGTTAATCGGGTGGAGATCAATGAATTGGCGACAATGTCAAGAATCGCGCGCGAGCGACACAGATAAATTATTGCAAACTTACACAATGTGCGGTGCCACGACGCGACACCATCCGGGACCATCGGAGAGAGCGGCTTCGGCCACAGCCGGATAATTCAAGCTGGGAACCTAAAGTGTTGGTAGAGTAAACATTAGAATTACGTGCAATTTTGTGGCGGGAGAAATATATGGCATATTGTGAAATTCTATAAATAGCAACATTCTTTGCATGACAATTGATTTATATTGAGAAATATTTCTCCCGTTCGTCTCCTGTTGTTATCTGGCACAATTGCTAAATTACCTTCTTCCTCTTGCACATCTCGTACTCCACTTTGATCAGCATGTGGATGCAGTAGGTGCACAGCAGCCCGATGAAGATCGTCCCGACGCTGCCGACGATGTAGCCTGCGTGGTAGAAGGCCATCGGCATGGCAAGGATGCCCGTGCCCAACGATCCCTTGAGCAGGTGAATGAGGGTCTCATTGTTCCTGCGGAGCAAAGAATGCTAATCAAAATTCCGCACTAGCTGCGTCTAGACTTGAGATCCTGCATGTGCCAATAAGTCTCTGAATATTTATGATAGAATTATATGAAAACATTTGGGTGGGAATACAAGAACCTGATGGAGTAAAAATTAACATAACCTGATACAGAATATTGCAGTTTTAAGGCCTTTTTTCCAATTCACAATTGACCAGAACGTAGCGTATATTTCTAATAAAAAGGCTGGCGATTGAAATTACACGCCATTAAGTTCTAATGCATAAATCATCTGTAAAATGCGTATAAAATACGATGTTGAATTTTTGAACTAGCTTTCAGATTTAGATTTGTGACGTGATTAAACATTCTTAAGCCTAACCTAGTGTTGCATAACTAAGCATCTGATTCTTGCCATTGATTTTGAGACAAAGAATTTTTTTCTCTTTCAAATTTCACGCGAAACTCTAACAATGATCTTGAAGTGTCCAAACAAGTTTACTATCAAAATTCAATTTCGTGTATCTGTTTTGTCGTTTCGGTAGTACAATTTGACCTTTATTCAGAATGCAACAAGTTTCTCTTGCCGCAGGTATTACGTCAAAATGATTGTGTGTTTTGACGCAAAGCTTACAGATCCGGAAGTCTTCTGGGCGACTGTTCAAGAGACTTCAAGAGACTTTTCTCACTCTCACTTTGATGTATATATTTCTCAGGTTGTCACAGGTCTAATTTGATCGAAATGGGTTAATTTGTCTGTGCTGACGACATGAATTACGCAAGAGACATTCCTTGGCACACGAGATCAAGTGGCTCGAGCGAGCTCAACTCACGTGGTGGGATGGGAAACCTCACGATGTTGGTATGGATCGTAGTCTTGGATGTCCTTTCCGCCAGCACTCGACGGCCTCTTCTCCACCAGCTCAATGACAAAAGCTGACTTCTCTCTGGCCGAGCCATCGTCTGGGACGAAGCCAGAGTTGCTGTGTCCGTGATTGGCGTTATTTGAGCGTGTCTTACTACCCATTATAGCTCAAGTGTTTGCAAATATGATAATTCTTCGCGGGATCAACCAGCTGAAGGCCTGCTGCTACATAAATGGCACGTGATCGGCAGGTAATTGTCACGTTATTCCTGGAAGAAAAAGAGTGAAGAGAATTTAGATAAGGCGTGTGTGGAAATATGACAAAAATCCTAGACGTTTTCTTTTCTTTTCAAAAAGTGGTGGGTTTTTTAAATGAAGAACGCAAGATGATGCGACCAGTGTTATCGGCCGTGTCGCTGAGATCGCATCAATTCCCTTGAGGCAGAGTGGAATGTTGCGCATAGAAAGCCGTTCAGTTATCTCTCTGGGTGATTACTTTACAGCGCAGTCCTTTTTCCCCTTCCTCGAATACCTCAAATTCCTCACGATAAGACAAGATACTGAATGGTATCATCCTCGAGTGGCAATTAACTGGCATTTCCTCATAACACTACTGCACTAGATTGCAGTGGTCACTTCTGCAGCGCCACAAAAAAGCGCGCTGTAACGCAAAACGTTACAACTTTCAGGTATGTTGCTCTACTAGGGAGTCATTGATCTAGCCACAACAAGACCTTCCAAGGTTCCCTCTTGCCCCACGCCACGCCGTTTTCATTGAGTGGAAAATTCCCACTTCAAGAAACGCCACAAACACCGCTTATAGGAGAAAAAACCAAGAGTCGCCGTGTATCTCTTGAAATGCACACGCCATCAAATGGAACTTTCCATCTCGCGATCATCATCGATGGGATGAGAACCAGGCGTAATCGCGTCTTGACTGTTTTTTTTTGTCTTTCCTCACTTTTGCCTCCGTCGTCAACAAATCCCAATCTGTCTAGCATTTTGTTGACCATGAAATGCGTTTCTTGTTTACGAAGAAGACTCAATAAAACACTCAATAAATCCATCTCACTCACTCGTGCACATACAAATGATCGCTGATTAGCTCTCAAGCCACCTGTCGGAGGTCTTTGCCTCATGAAATTCAGATTGATAGACGTCGTCAAGCGAAAGGATGATTTATCGAAGACGTGAAGTGACCAAAAATAGACAAAGAAAATCTGGGATTTTTGCAAAATGATCAACTTTTCAAGGAGTAATTTATTATGTATGTATGTTGATCTTTTTATGCATCACAGTGAAGAACTTGAGACTTGAACTTATAAGAAAATATTAAAAAATTCATAATCATCAATTAAGTCCTTGATTTATTAGAAATACATTAACATGCAATAATTTATAGGTGATTAAAAATGATTTTTTTCTTCTTCTCTAACAATGGAACAGGTTAGGTGGGATTGTTGGGGAAAGACCAACAACTGTTCAGTCTTCTATGTGCTTTAAATAAATCCACAATCGATTAAATCTCTTGTGTTCTTTTTGCACAATTTTTGAACACCTCAAAAATAACCACTCTCACTTCTCTGGAAACAGGTTGGAAATTCCTGCAATCCTGCAAAATGTTCCATGAGTTCAAAAACTCGATACGAAAATAAAAGAGAAGCATTTTAACAATCTGTCGATCAGTCTAAGGAGTGTTTTGGGCGGTGAAAAAAGAGAGATAAAATCGGTATCTTTTACGCAAATCTCAATATATTGGAACTTGAAAACTCGTTCTCCTTCGTTGTGAATTGCTGCTGTGTTCCCAATATTGTGGGGATTTTTTTTCACCTCCTTCAATCTCATTTTGTCCCACTCCTCGCGGAGAATCCGCCTGAGAATGACGAAAAGAGAGAAAGGGAAACACAAGACGTATATTTACGTTTTTTCCCCCTCCTCTCCTTCTCAAACATTATTACTTTGCACTCTGTCTATTTTAGCGTCACAATCTTGTAGTTTTTTCGCGATAATTTGTATAGTTTTTGCATACTCCCAACTTTGCCACACGTGCAATTTTCATTATTTATGATCGATCATTCACCTCACGATCCAATGTAAATATTTACATTTTACGTGCTCTCACGGACACCTCTCACACCCGATCACGATCTGTCTGATGAGATCTCGCGGGGGATCTTGCGAAAGTGCCCTCTTGAGCGTGGCTGCACCGCGAGATCCTTTTCGCTTTTTCGTCATCGAGAGTGCGCGCGCGCGTGTCTTCTCTTCTCTCATTAGCATACATCGCCATTTGGAGATTGGAAGCTTTTGAGGAGATGTAATTTGATCTGTCGCTTTTGTGGTGGCAAATTTTTGACGGTGGGAAACCAGTTTTTGGAGATCCGGAAAAATCCGGTTGCCATCAGTTCTCGGAACGCCGATTGCCAATTCTTGAGACACACTCCACAACTGCTGATGGTTCGATGGCATTCCATTTGTTTGTCTTTCTTTGGCGCTTTAGCGAAATTCCCAAACTCCAAAGTGACGATAAACTCTGCAGTGTTTACGGTAGTTGGGATTTCCCTGTGAAAGACCTCAATAACATTTCATGTGATAATAAATAATAGGCGCGCGTAAGGTTGTCCAAATAAGGTCTGAAATGTGAATTGATGGAACTCGACGAAATTCACAAATTGTAAGGTTATTCGTATCAAGGGGGAGATAATAGGGTTGAACTGCCCCATTCACAATTTCTGTTAAGAATCCAGAACTTTAGTAGTGCGTAAAACATGCGTTTTCCTTATTTTTCCCCTGATCTTTATAGATTTTTCTAACCGCCGAAAGTATCTTAACCTCAACTTAAGGAGTTTATTCTATTTTCAATTGTTCTTTCAAAAGAAACAAAAAAAAACTCCTAAAATAGATTATATTGTATCTTGAAACAATATTTTAGAGGTTCTGTTAAATCTTATTGCAATTAAGACAATTTAACATCGAAAGCTTGTGATTTTCATCAGATTTCATTTATTATAATGTCAGCAAATGCAAATGAAATCAGCTTAGGCGCCAGAATGAATGATTTTGAAGGTTATTTAGTGGCAAAATTTGTCTTAAAACCATAATATAACCTAGAACTTCTACTTCACAAATACTTCTACTGAGTTGTAAACCACTTCTGACCATGACATCTCCCCCTTGATTCGTTATCTCAGCACAAAATTCAGCCAGAATTCGCATATTTCTGAAATTTAGAAACGCCTCACGTGATGTTCGCGAACTCATCAACATTCAAGATAGGTCAGGAGAGATCGCATCTTTTAACGACTGCAATATCTGTCACCTGCAGACAATAAATTCCCCCACTGGGTCTGTCTGCGAGTTTTCACCAGGAATTTCACATCACAAATCTCGGATCACGTGGGTGATCAGCACGCGAAAGAAACTTTTGCATCGCGGTGATCTGTCGAGCTGGGAATGCGCAAATGACGGTGATTAGAGGGGGATCACCGTAAGTTTCAATCGAAAATTGGCTTGACATTCAATATGAGCGCGTTACAATTTCCGTGATCGTGATCTTGTGCTGATAGACAGGGTTTTTCTGCAATCGCCAATTGTCGTAATCATAGCTTGTCAGTGCATTTTGAACACAATCGGTTGTATTTCACCATTCAGATGCTTAAAATGTAGTCAATCGTGGCGCAGAGTATCATAGAAATTGCATTTGGCCACACCTTGTTTCTCCCTGGATTCCATTTGACCACTGGAATGACTTGGAAATACCTCATGATCGTGCTTATCATTTTCTGTGGCGTTTGCATAATTTCAAGCCCCGCGCGAATTCTCCAAATTCTTCAAACACTGCAATTTTCTTGGTCCCGCAGCGGAGGATCTCTTGCCATCTAATCAGGTCTGCCGACTTGCGCTCGCCCATGGGATGGCCGTTGGAGCTCAAATGCCATCACGTAGGAAAAAAACTGTTTGGCTTTCTCTCGACATTGAAAGAGATTCGCTTGCATCACACTTTGTGGGCATAAAATTTGATTAATTTCCAGGTCAAATGTTTGTTGCCCTTGACTATAGCTCAAAAACAAGGTGGTTTAGTTCTTTAGGGCCGCAAATGATACGCTTGACGGTTTTGATGGTTGGGAAATTCAGCAGGAATAATTCACAGAGGTAAGAATTTTGGGTTTCCATCTCACAATCGCACATCGGAAGAATTGAACACGGCGATAAGGTCTTTTTTAAATTGAAAGTCACACAAGTGTGTATATATTTAATTACTATTCATACGAAAAACTCCCGTGAAACGCAATTTCTTGAAAGACAGCCAAGCTATTTAGTGGTAATTTGAAATCTTAATTGAAGAATTTTGCACTTTTTCATTGTAAAGTTAATATTTGGCGTTTTAGCACTCTTATGGCAAAGAAAATAAAAACGTAATGTTGACAACGGGAAATTTAGTGATTTTGGAACTTTATGAAATTCACAGCTGCTTAAATACACAATTAAACCTACACGAGCTTTGCAATTACACTTACCTCCACTTAACAAATTACAATTAAACTTACGACAGTCATAAAGTATTACCAAGTAACAGGTAATTAGTATAATTAAATCATTCTAAAAGAATAGAATTGTTGCTTGAACGATTTTCGCGGCTGTTGAAATTCTTGAAATTCCAAATTTCAAACGCACCGTGCTAAAAATTCCGCGACAATTTCACACTCACAGCAATTTATTTGTCCAACGAAGCGCCAAAAGCAGCAAAGCAGGAAAAAAAGTGGAATTTTCCCACAGTAATAGGAGGAAAATATTGAAAAAAAGAGTAGCGTGCCAAGTTGCACTTTCGCGGCGAGAAGTAGAAATGTCACAATAACCACCCACTCTTGATACTAATCGCGCGAAAAGATTCACTCGTCGTCTCAATTGCCAACAGAATGATGGCTCGTCACTCGGCAGAACATGAAGTGCACTAATACCTATTGCATAATCTCTCTAGATCGCTCCACATTGAGATTCCGTACGCGAATGCACATTTTTAATCGGGCACGGTGCGATGTTATCGCAAAAATTCAAATTTAGCGATCAATTGGCAACAGAAATGCACCTTCTGACCTTCACTGATTGCAGCTGGAAAAATAGGAGGAGGGGGAGAAGCTTGTGGCAGAAAATCGCACAAAAGTTTGACTATGCGGAAAATAACACTGTGCTGTAATTTCCTTCAACAAAAAGCCACTTCTCTGCATGGCTTTTTATGTCGAATTCAGTGTTATTTGTAGCACTAAATGTGATTAGTGAACAATAATTTTTTTCGCTCAGCACAAACCACCACTCAATTGTCATCCAGTCTTTTTGTCTCCCGCGAATCGTGGAAAATTGTCCATGATAGGCAGAGAGGATAAATGAGTGGCTCCGGAGATGAAATGCGAGACAGTGTGTAAGTCAAGAAGCTCCTTATCAGCGGCCGAATATCAGTGCGATGTGATTAAGCCACCAACCTCTTGAAGATAAATACGAGAAATTTGAGTGTCACGACGATTTGTCCACTTATCACTGCGGATCAGACGCAGATGGGCTTAAAATTATGACTTAATTGTTATTTACGATATTGTTCTTCACTTCAGCCTTCGTGCGAGATGTGAGAAATGAAGCTAAACACGAGATCATACAGACACTCTCTAACATGTAGTACAGTGGCTGCAAGAAGAATACGAACCAGACTGAATTAGCAAACACAACTCAGAGTCCATTAACTCTGTGATTATTCAATCAATTCTTGATTTAACAATATTATTGGCTTCTCAACTTTGGCAAAAAAGAGGGAAAGTCGCAAATTTATCACAATCTGTCAATTTCGCCTTCTGGAAAAACAATCGAAACTTCTACATGTATTTTAAGCTTGATCCTGACCAGAATCACGTTAGGAAGTCCATAAAGTGTGAAAATGCGTGAGAAGTAAGAGAAAGTTATGCAAAAAATACGATATTTTCGCGTCCCTCACACCGACTTTGATGCCCTCTGGCCCCCATATGTGGAGGAAGAAATCAAATAATAAAATTTTAAATAAATTCCCCGAAAATATTTAAAAATAATTCGATTTATTTAAACATTTTGCCCGAAAATACTCAAATTTTCATTGTTTTGTAGTTTAACTTAAAAAAAATCATTTTTGAATTAAAATTCCTCAAAAAACACCTTCTGACTTTCCCCTTGATGACTCCAATTTAAATTCAGTGAATTCTTGACATCTGAGTCGCCAATAAATACTTTTATTGGTCTAAAAATAAATCAGATCAGTCCATTTCCAACCAAACAAGATTGGGTATAAAAAGATTTTATTTTTATCCAAACAATCCGTCAAAAATATTACAAATTCTTGTCTTTTCAACTGTCACGATCAGATAAAAATACATTTTTGCGTCACGAGGAAAGGAAAAATCTTCCGTGAGTCACAATTAGTGCTACAAAAATAGAATTATCACATTGCATAAAATTGCATCACGATTTCACATGTGATTGCTTCTAATCTCAAGCTGTGCAGTGTAAATCGTCACCTTTTATTGCCAACATTCTCCAGAAACGCTGCCACTGGTGTTGCTTTATTCGAGTGTTTGATTTATGAATGAATCGCGATATAACTACTATTCTTTCACATCATAAATACTTGATTACACACTTTTTTTCCTTATCGCCCAGTGTTGGTGGGCGGAGAAAAGTGGGTGAAGACGTCCATAAAGCTCAAATCAATTGTGATCTCTCCATAATGCGAAGTGCTCAGGTGATAGAGAGATGATTATCGAAGTAACCTCGCGTAGCTTTCGACTGACTCTGGATGCCGCGCGCGCGGGTGATCAAGTAAAAAAAGGAGGTGATTTATGAACAAATTGCAGGGAAGGTCAATTGGCTAATTCAATGATGAATTTCTTGCAGTGGCGTGAACAAATAAAAAAATTTAAATAAATTTACGAGACACCGAGATTAATCTATTGCGTTATACAGGGGGAAAATTTGTGCTGGTAAAGTTGCGAAACAAGAATTTTTCCCGCTGGGAAAATTCCACTCTCCCCCTGACGGACATTTGAATATTGAGCACACACATCAATTCATTTGAATTTTCTTCCACAAACAAACACCGCACCAGCTTTATTAAACCTTTTCACCACCAATCTTCACCATATTATTTTTCTAATTCTCATATTGGGCCGTTTGTTTGAGTATTTTCACATCTTCACGATCAATTTATGTATATTGATGAAACATGTTTGAGAGAAATGAGAAGAAAAAGCAAGAAAAAAAATCCGGAAGACTGAAGGTCAATTGCAATTGCAAGATCGTTCAATGTGAAGGGAATTTCACAGTGTTTGTGTGGTTGAGGAAGGAATTTTGTATATGGAAAAAAGTAACAAGGAAGCTTGACGATTACCTGAATGCGCGATGGAGGATTTCTGCCTTTGTCTCTCGTTTTAGTGAAGTTTTTGGTAAAAAAAGGAAAATGCCGAACTAAAATAGATTAAACCGCAACTTTTGGTGATCTATTTCTGTGCACTTGAACTTGAAAGTGATGTATTTAGTGTCAACGAATGCGATCACTGAATGCCTCAAAATCACGATCACTGGGACACTTTGCCAAATTAAATTATTTCCTACAGATTTTTGCGCTAAGATCAGCCGATTGCACTTGATTCTGTGGTGTTTCGCGAGTGAGGAAAACTTCCCAAAAAAACTCTTTATCTCTTATATTGATTATGTGCACGCAAAACAGTCCATTAAATAGGCAAGTGGCAATTGTAGGCTTTCAACACACAACAATCACAGCAATTTTCAACAGAGTTGCACCGTGCTCGAGTGTCTCCAAGCGACTGGCTCAGGTCTCTTCACGCCAAGAGGTTAAGTAGAGCCGCGCCAAAGCAAATCGTCAACACACAAGATCAAAATTGACTACGTCCACTTTGACGGACAGTTCTCAATCTCTCTCTCACTCACACTCGCTGTTCATACTGAGAAATTGAAACATTTTATTTTAGTCTTCGACACATTTTCCCTCGAGCTCTTCTGCAGCATCGCGGCGGCGGATGATTTGAAAATCGCAATTTGCACATACGAAATCATTGGAGATTTTTACACAGAATCGTGCGATGTGCATAATCAGAGAAACATCTGTTGCAAAAATAGCACACTTTGTTGTGGGTTTCCCGCCATATATACATACAGATCTTCGCGTTCTGTGGGAAGTACGAGATCGATCATAAACCGCAAGATAAGATGTTGCTGTCTGTCTGTTTCTTTAGAGAGAAAAAAACCCGCTGAAGGAATGTCTGACGTGTGGAAAGTGAAATTTTCCACGCACACCCACTTGAGAACTTTTTCTCCCTATTCGAGATCAGCGTGACAATCGTGAAGTGGCTCTCAAGCCAGGCAGGAGGTCACCTGCAAGCGTCCACAACCTTCCTCGTGACATCACACAGTGATAGGGCGATTTTGATGTCATGCAGGTTGGAATAACACCTCTTGAGCGATCATCCAAACACTTGCACTGATGGCTTTACACGTTGCCGGGCTGATAAATTACAATGCGCGCATTTTATACTATAAATTTCGTAATTCTATTGGCGATCATTTTTCAACACACTTACGCCTCTCTTCAGAGGGAATTCCCAGATTTTCCAACAGTTATTTTTAAGTGAAGAAGCATGTTTTGTACGATTTTATAAGCACATATTTTTAGACATGAAGTTTAATTTATGAGGAATCTCGCGAAGTCATCTTATCTCCAGTCTGAAAGTTTGCAAAATTGAGGTTCATTTCTTTTTGAGCTTAATAAGAAAAATAGATGTGCATCTATATATATGTGATGCCTTTATAAGTATCAATTAAAATCAATATAAACACCATAATAAGTTCTGATAAGTCACATGAAAGAATTCACAAATAATGATAAGCCGTCAACAATTTATCAACAGGGATTCCGAGTAATGTGGTGTAAACTTTTGAGGGTTTAGCAAACCTTATAGAGTTTTCCATCAATTTCACCAACAACTGGAAGTGGAAAAACAACTCTGATTGCTACTGATTAGGTGTGAGTTAAATTGAGAATGTTTTTCCTGATTGAACACCTCTTAAAAATGGTAAATAAAGAAAATGAAATAATAAAACTGCGCGTAATTTTCCTCCGGAAGATATGACTTCAAGTTAATCTAGGTGTTTGTCTATCTCTATTTTCCTTTTTCCCTCAATGCCTAAAAGCTCTTAGTGACTTGAATAGCTTAATGATCCCTTGATTTATTTTCTAATTGCTGGTAAGAGACACTTTATCCGCCCACCACCAATTCAAGACGATCAAGATAATGAGAGTGACTCAATGGAAATGCGTGACATCAATTTAACAGCTAAACTCGCTAAACTAAAAGGAATTTACCGCAATTTTTTCCGATTGGGCTCAAGAGGCTTTGTGGATCTTGTTTTTCGGAATTACCCATTATCTTGGAGATGTAAAAAAAATAAATAATGAGGCATTCATCTGATGAGGCGCTCTAATTTTTGAATAAACTCCGAGGTGATAAACTCTTATTTATTGCGATGGAGATTAATCCTTGGCGTTTGTAAATAAGGAGCCAAGTTCACTGTATATAAAGTGACAATAAACAGTGTCAGGTTGACCAAAATTGCTGTGAGGATTTCAATGGAGTCAAGCGACAGACACTGGAGAGTTGTTATGGAAGATTCCGGAGCTTCTGTGCTCGTGAGAAGCACAAATAGATCATTTTGTGCTCTCTGGACGTTTGGGAAGGTATACACAATATGAAATTGAGGAATGTGCCGTCAACAATCGAAAAGTGCTCAAATAAGGAAATATCTACTTGAATATCCTACAGCGCTCAGTTGGGTGAATCTCACAACAGCGAATGGCATTATATCGCATTGCGAACCAAGGTTTCAAGATTGCCACGAAAAGTCCGGCTGAAGCCAATTGGTGTGATTAATTGAAAAAGCTCCGCCACAGAGAGGAAGCGATTCAATGCGGATTGACAATAAATTGGCTAACGAGGAGAGTGGGTGGCTAATGTTATCACACTGATTGCTCTTGTTTTCACACACACAACCCATTGAGCTGCTGAAGATGCGAAAAAAAGAGGAGCAGCAAGTGGAATAATCACCACAGTCGCACTTTATGACTCCTGATTGGTGGCAATAAAAATCACATTGGACAGAAAGAGTAAACAAGAGACATTCTAGGAAGTTTACAGCAATTAATTGTACACGCAACACCTTGAAAATCACCACTTCGACGCATGTTCTGGGCCCAGAATTCTTGTTTTTCACCATAAACGCCGCACGCTGGACAGCTTGAAATTCACCGAATATCCAATGAATTTCATGTTCAAATATTATCTCACCGGCTATGCTTCAGTTTGGATAGTGAATCGAGAGGAAATACCAGAGTAATTGGACAAATATTAATGGTTGAAAACAAGAATCAATGCCCGAAAATACTCTTATGCCGAAATCTGCGGACAATTTTTCACACATTCTCCCACATTGACTTGCCGAGAGAATCATAGGCTTGTGTACTCAATTCGCAAATTGGAATTTTCTCGAGAAAACCACAAAATGGACAAGAGTAAATAGAGAGATGTGATAAATTTCCCCTGAAGCACAACTCATTTTCCACTAACACATATTTGGGCGCGGAGCTTTTGGCTGATATCTTTCAAAAATCACCCGAAAATTCCCCACGCGATGGAGACGCCTGGTGGGTTATAAGTGAAGATTCACACCAGGCGTCTCCACAGCAGAACATTTTTATACCACTTTTTTTCTAATGCTATATTTACTCTTCTTTAAGAGCTTTATCGCACGAACTTATGTAGGTGAAAATTTAATCAACATGCGATACGACAAATAATATGGTTTATCGAGATTGCTTTTCCGCTAACAAGAAGTCAAACTGCTCTTAAGCTCAGCGTATTGTTTATGAAAGTGGCACACATGATAATAATTACTTCCGATCCAGTTAAAGTAGGAGAAGACTAAAGGTGGTTTATGAATAAAACAATACAGTATTTGATATGTAAGGAATTTTACAAATTAATTAATAATAAAAATTAATTATTCAGCCCTTGTTCTTGGTTGAATTGCACAAGAAATTTGTGCCACATTTACCAAAATTCGTGTAAAACAACATATTGTATGAAGAAACACGACATCGAGCTTTACGGAGGATCAAGCATTACTGTAAATTCATACAATAAAGTATAATTTCTTTACAATATTGCTGTTTTTTAAGATGTTATACACATCTTAACACTGATTTCTTTGCTGTCAAACTCCAAATTCCACTGGAAACAATATACTTTTTGGTCTACCAATAATAAATTACTTGTGCTCGTAATGCTGTCATTGCGCGCGTACGACAAAGCTTGTGATAGACACGTTTCCCTGTTGATAGTGAGTGCAATTGTTATGAGGCGCACTAGTGCAATAAAGCTGTAATAAAGCAAACTGTGCATACTGAAGGTGCTTTTGAAATTGATATAAATCCACCCTAAAATCCGTCTCCTGTTCGTGTTCTTGGTGTATCTAATTTGCATTGGTAATAAAAAGTTGCCCGAGATCAACTTCGCCCTTCTTTTCCCACTAAAGCACTTTGGCATTGAATTAATAGGCAGAAAGTAGAACTATTAGCTAGGTTCCCTAAGTTGACCACTTGCGCGTGTGCTCGTGTGCGTTGGATATTGTAGATCTCTAAAAATGTGGCTAAGAATTTTTGTGCCTCCACACTTCACCTCGTGAAAAAGTTTGACTTGGGCCGAGTTCGCAGACAGACATTTGCGAACATCGTGCGGTGATGATGGTGCCATTAATTGAAAGGTTCCCGTCCACATTTCAGCCAGACTCTGCATCAATCCACTGTGATATTCCATCGCGTTCGCACCGAGATTTGAGTGGCATTGGAAACATTATGACAACACAGTGATTTTGTAATAAAGAATCTGAATTATTATAACTCCTAACAGTGCAAATAAAGTACGGATCAGTGATTTCTGAACTCTCAGTGAAGACAGTGAGCAGCGAAACTAGTTGCACTCGACATTGTGTTGAAGAAGCACATTTGACGGACCATTTTTTGCTAAAAACTCTGTGACAGAATTTTGAAGTGAAAGAGCAAACTTTGCCAGAGAGACAATTGAATTGTGTTCTTGACCGTGGAGGAAATCATTGCTGAAGAACGTACGAGAGAACTTCCAGCTGTTGATTTGACATTGAGGCTGACTTTTTTGCAGATCTTTTGGGACGAGAAAGACGAATTTTGAGTAAGTACCGTGTGGCTCAAGACTTCCTCAAATGCGGTGGGAGAAAAAATTTCTTGAATATTTGCCAGAAAACTTCCACTCCAACTAGTTCGTCACACTTTTTTTCATCTTCTAAGCATGTCTTTCTGACCTTTTTGAATTTCGCAGTGCCGCGGCCCATTAAGAAATGATTTTTTTCTTGCTGTTTCAACACAATTAAATTCCTCACGCCAATGTAGTTGTGAGTTCAATTCTTCCAACTCTCTTTTTCGGCAGATTAATTTATGTATGAGATCATGATCTCATCGCAATCACTGATTACTCACGTGTGTCGGGGACCAATTGAGAATGACATCTCTGTGTGGTTTTGTCATTGAGTTCCCTTATTCTCGTGCAAATTGTCAATTTCCTCGCATATATTCTACCTTCCGTTAAAACAATTAAGAGAAAATTACAACTTTTATAGAAAAATGAGCGAACAAGAAGTTTTCCTTACCGTTTTTGCCACTGAAAGTGTGTCTCGACATCATCTCTCGCCTTTTAGGCGATAAAACTCACAATTGTTTTGTGGAAAGCTGCCAAGAGAGGGAGTGACTGTGATCTTGTGTATGATTTAAACTTT